GGGAGTGAGCAAGCAGCTGTGTGGTGCTCAGTTGCCGACTGAGGTTAAACCACGACAACCTGTTTGTTGTGAATGCCGAGTACCTCTGAAATCAATTTTGTTTCTCCAGTCTGCATTCAGGTACAATGCTGTTATTAGTGATTTCCATATGAGATTCTTCTAGAATATATTTATAGGTACTTAATCTGCATTTAAAAGTTAAAATTCTAGGTCTTTAAAAAGCAAATAAATCTTCTGACTATTTTTAATACATTCACAGACAGAAAATAATATATCCAGGCTTTAGTTTTTCTTTAGTTTTCTTATCTTAAAAACAGATCTAGCTAATCTAGGTATGCGTCGCAAACATCCTTGCCTCACTTTCCATGATATTTAGACAAAACCAGTTCCTTTACTGCTCTATCTTCTAAACTCTGAATCGGCGATTGTTTTTAATTGTTGGTGGAAGATCATCATAGCTAAAATGGGCTTTTTCCATTATTTAGAAATTAATGCTGATGTGACATTGCATGTAATTGTATGTTTTGTACATCACGATTCTGTTCATGTTCTTGTTTTGTATGATTTAGGCAAGATTGTGATCTAATAAATGAACTTTGTTGCCAACACTATTCAAATCATGTAACCAGGTAAGCCAGTGTCTTGCAATTTTTCCTGTGAACAATCTCACTTTGTTTTTAAAAGTGTTACAGCCAGGCCAACAACCTAAAATAAGATTGTAAAACTTCCAATGTTTCATCTAGATCTGATTATTTATGTTAGAAATCATTTATATAATGAACTTTCTTGGATGGGTTCTTTAACCTCAACCTGGACTGTGAACAGAGATAACATAAACTGTTTGCCTTTCATTTAAATTGTCATTGTATGAATTCCAATATTTTGAGTTACTGTTGAATATTTAAAATTGACATAAAAGCAACTTGAAAAAACCCTTCAAGGTTAATTCTTTTTTGCCACTGTATGATTTCTAAATAGATTCTGAAATATTTTTGGAAGCAGGATTTTGGTGCTACTCCATATTACTGTGTTTTACCAAAAGGTTTTACAAAAGTTCAAGAAACATCTTTTAAATGTGGGTTGTCTTAACTGTTTTGAACATTATCAAGGTTTTTAATCTGGCCCAAGTATAGAGAGGGGAAAGAGAAGAAATACTGAGAGATGGTAAATACATTTCTCCCTCTTTCTTTCTTTGACCTAGGGACCATAAAAACCAACTTCTATTTCAAATTAATGACAAGATTTCCTGCATGCGGAATATATATCTCAAGGATCTCTTGCCAGACCGTGGTTTTGGAGAGGACCCTCATCGCCATGAATGCAAAAGCGGAGAAACCACCCTCACTACAGAGACTGCTGAGGAGAACAAACGACTATGCAATGGAGATACATTTTTCATAACACAGGTAAGTCCTTGCTGCAAGAATTTGCACAAAAAACCCCAGTGGTAACTGATTCAGTCCTTGTTGAATCCCCGGAACAAAACAATTCACACTTTATAATTTTAGTCCATAATATATACTTAGTTCTTCTGCTAAACTATCGTGTGAAAGGCAAGGAAGAGGCAGACTCAAAATAGAGAATTAAAAGGAAATCTCTGGGCATTTTTGTAAAATGTGTTTCAGTTGGTCTGCTCGTGTCTGGTGTAAATACATTCTGTAAATACTCAAACGTATTGTAATTGAAATGGGTAGTGTTTTGGATATAGGTAGAAACATCGTCTTAAGTAAAGAATAAAGCTAATGTTACAGCTTGAGCTCTCCCTGGCAGAAGACTAAGCTGACCAAAAAATACAGCAACAAACAACTCTGTTATTCTGCTGGGCTCAGTGAGTCAAGTTGACTCGGCGGAGAGTCTGGTGAAAGTATCGATATTTGTGCATGGGAAAGGGGGACCATACAGGGTTGGTGGGAGAGAGCAGGCTCTTCTCCGTTCCTGGCAACAAATTGTTACACGGCCTCATTGGTATATTTCACTGTACCCTCAGATAATCTGAGTTTTCTGGGGGTTAAAACTGCCTTTCTCAGCATTTTTCTTATTAAACAGAAGGAGTTAGGGTAGGCCCTGTACAGTGAAACTATTTTCCTTGAAGGTGGTCAGTGAAAGATAGCAATGTTTTGGGTTCAGCGTCTTCAGTCGGTTGACATTGCAGCTGTTGTAATTTCAGGGAAAGCTAGAATACGGACAGGCACAGATGTGTAGACACTGATCGAACTGCTGATACAAGCTTACTGCTGAGTGTTCTTGTGCTGTTTCTTTAGGATGTAGAAATTGATAAGCAGCGCTTATTGACCATCAGCAGCACGTACGGCTCCACGTTCACGGTGAAGTATAAGGCACTGAAGAAGCTATGTCATATAAAACATGCGTGGGCCAGAACTATTCACACATTTCAGGTAAAAATAAAGAAGCTATGAGCTGACAAAACTTTCTCATGGCTTTATCTTGCTAATGCGCTGTATTTTCACGTGAAAGAGCCAGAAGCTCTCTTGAAACTAAAATTCCTTGAATGCAGGATAGAAAATATCCTTGAGAGTGTCCCCAGTTGTCTCCAACTTCCTTGTTCTTGTAAGTTTGTTGGTTTTGTTTTTTTTTTTTTTTAAAAACTACTTACTGGAGATCTTACCTTGAAAAGGCATTCTTAAACGTGTTTCAGGGTTCTGAGGAAAAAACTGTTGTCTACGTGGTTGGCAATCCTGGCCGTCAGCACTGGCAGCACGTGTACACAGCCGTGACCAGAGGACGCTGCCGTGTCTATATTATAGCTGAAGAGCCGCACCTCAGGAGAGCAGTCACTAACAAGAACATGCCCAGAAAAACTCGCTTACAGAGATTTTTGAGAGAGGCAATCGCAGAAACAAGTAACTGTCCCAAACAAGCTTCCTCTCCCCTGACGAAGAGCTGGCAAAGTCAAGAGCTTGAGACTCGGTCTGTTTCTGTAACTGGAGGTGCTCCTGGCCCATCTGAACCTCCGTCTGACTCGATTAAACAGGAAGGGTCAGCAGTTCTCAACAGAGAAGAGCAGACGGGCAATTTGCAGCAAAGTCCATGTAAAAGACAACCAGAGGATTCTGAGGATGCCATGGAAGTACCCTCTGTAAGTACCTCCCTACTGAGGAAGTTTAAAACAAACTTTTGCACTCTCTTTCACTGCCGCAAGTCACCTGGATACCGTTACAGTTGTTTTATTATTACTTGTTTAATCATTTTCAAGATGACCAGTAATTGGTGAAGCAGTCAAGTTTGGCAGATGTTTTCCCAGAGTAATATACGACTAATAGGGAAAAATAAGTTATTATGTCAATAGCAGTAAACTTACGTATCTTGTTACTCACTGGAGTGATCCGTTGGTTAGCTTAGCCTGTATTAGGTTATTCTTCGTGTACAGAAGTCAGTTTTTAGGAGCTGACCTGCCGTGAAAGATGTATATAAAATTTAATAGTTGATTTTTATACAGTCAAACATGCTTAACAGATGCTTTTTTTATTCTGTCTAATTTCTGAGCTCTGTCCTGGGGAAAGAGCTTTTTTTGAATATGTTACTGTATTTTAGTCCTCGTTCAAACTCTGGTAACATTTTTGTTTTGTTTTGACAGAAAAAAGTACAAGATTCCCCACTTGAGTCTTCCAGACTTAAGAATCTAACTTTGGGACAAGCCATTCCTAGGAAGCTTTTCAAAAGCTAACAAACAATTAACTGTCCTCGTTATGAACCTTGCTTGCACCTGGTTCATTCAAGATTTTTGGAACAGAGAAGCTGGGCACGCAGATGATTTTCAAAGGCTTTCCTGTATTTGCATGTTCTATGAAGAACAGCTTGTCTTAAAGCGAGCCTCGTCTGTTTTCAGTGATCTGTTTTTAGTAGGAGATTCCTTGGTGTGTCAGTCATCAAAAATCATACCATTCTTTTGTTCTGGTGAAGAATGAACTTACGGGTCTTAGAGCGCCCAGACGTTCCCTTAAAAAACACAGGGGGATTTCTAGGTTTAAAGACTGTAGCCGTCCATACCAAGATTCATCCGTCTCCTAATGCTACAGAATTGATGAGAAGCTGTTACTGATGTGCCAAAACTGCAGTTCGCTCTTGAGTCAAAAAGTAGTTTACAAAGGGGACAATGTTTAATCAACCCTCAGACAAATTGTACTGACAAAATTTGCACAGCTTGCTTACTTGTAACAAATCTCTTTTTTTTTTACACATACAGCAGGAAGAAGTGTACCACAAATATAAACATGGTATTTTTTGCTAAACCTGTGGTAACAAAATGTGGAAAAAAATACAAAGTAGAAAAATGCTACCTTATTTTTAATGTCTTTAAATCACTGTTTATTTCAATTTATACAGTTTTTCCATACAAATATTTGCAACAGTTTGAATTTCAAAAAACATAACATAGACGATAAATATCATGCTATTAAAGTATTAAATTTGTACAAAAATACTTTACAGCTTAATACTTATTTGTTACAAATAAAAATACATATTTAAGTGACTCATGACCTTTTTTTTTTTTTTTTTTTAACATGATTCAGCATTGAATGTCATTCTGACCTTTTCTGAAACTGCTGAAATAGAAATCAGAGCTACTCGTGTGTGCAGGGCAGGTGAGCTTGTTCATGTATTGGAAACAGCAACAGGGATACAGTTAAACAGTTTAAACTGACCAGAAACAACTCTGTAAGGTGATTGCTTAGATATGGAGACTCTACAAATGTACAAATCCAGTATCTTTATATTCACCAATAACAAGAATTACCAATAACAACTTGAATACCGGAATAAACCAAAGCAGCTGCTGGTGAGCATATAAAGCAACTGGCAGTATTTTATTGCTTGGGGGGAGAGGGGAGAATTTGTGTGATGTGTTCGTAAAACATATTTACAATTTTAAATTCTAAAAACGTGTTGCAGGGGGTAATGTTTCTCATAAAGGCGGCTGAAAACAAAGCGTATCAAATGGGACTTTTGTCCCTTCAAGAAATTGTTTGACTTAAAAAGCTCACGTGTGCCAGTACAAGTTTACAGGTTTATGGATCATTAAAGAGCTTTTGTATCAATCTTCCACTGACATAGTTTAAAAAAAGCCATTTTCTTTTAAAACCTTCCTAACTTGTCTGAACTCATTACGGTTTTACTCGTCAGCAATCCTCTTTCAGAGGTTTCATCCCACTAAAAAAGTCTCTGCTTAAAAATCCCCACAGGTTGCAAGACATACCGTTGAGTATTTCATTGCATAGGGAGTAACACACGTTCTAACAAAATTTACCAAAGTGGGGGAGTAACGTTCACTGCATGCTGCAGCTTCCTACAAGCGTTCTGTTAAAACATCTAAACCGTGCTTCGGCTGAAGAGTGCACCCTTCTTGCCAGCAGCATAAAGGTCCCCAAAATCACAGATCTAGCCATTTAACAAGAAAACCCGGTGCAGCATACCACTCTTCCTTGTCCGTCAGACAGCACCTTTCTGATAAAATGTTCTTAAAACCCATGTAACCTGGACACCACCATTAGCAGAGGTTAACGCCGTGCTTTTCCCTCAAACACCAGCTGCTGCTGAAGGGAGAGGAACATGTAAATGATGTTTAAAACACCTCCCCAGTTTCTTATTTGGGGGGGAAAAAAGGCCCTTAGGATTTTTCATACTGTTGCTAACGCTAGATGGGTTAGAGTGGAATGACCTGACTTAATGAAGAATTAAACTTGTTCAAAAGTAACCATGAATTAATATAAGCCTTGAGACAGACAGACTGACCTCCTGTGCTTTGTAGTGCTATGTAGCATCTGAGCCTCAATCTCAGAAAAAACTTAAAGGGATTTAGCACCATAATTGTCTTTCGTTACCGAATGTCCCACTAAAATGACTTTCTGCTATAATGTATTTGTAGGATCCCGTGTCTCTGTATTAACACTAGCGTGTCCGCTCTGTTGAAGGAAGGCATTGGTCTGATCACTCCACTCCCCACTTGCTGAAGGCGGTTGTTCTGAGCTTCCTTTCTGAGATGCCAGTGGGTTTCTGCTAATAACCAGCTCCAGCTTATTGCCAGATTCTGCGATGAGGGGCACAACTAGACAGCAGTCAAAGTCTCTGGTGCGAACGTGGTTTACCTGAATGATTAGAAGATTGATTTTCGTTACCATTTTAGGAAAACGAAACGAGATCACAAGAGAAACAGAGTTATCCTTGAGACGATGGAACCTGATTTACATATTCCAGGTAGAGAATCGCTCAGTACATGGCTATTTAACCACGGCGTCTGGTCTGAAGACACTAGTTAAGTTTTCTACTCACCCTTTAACAGAGCGTAGCTAAAGTGAGCGTATTTGCACTGGTGATAGCTGTTGGCAGCTGTCACAATGCCCATTCCATAAATGACATTTAACAGCACATAGTTACTCTGTCTTTCATGGTGTTCATTAATTTAAATGCAATAGATCACATCTCAGATTTCAATTCAGTTCAGGTCTTCTCTGGTTTTAATTAATATATAAAGTATTTTATTGGGCTAGTTGACAACAAAAGTTAGTTTTTCCATCACGATCCAACGTGGCACTGTGGGAAGTGTGGCGCTCAGTGAGAATTACATTATTACAACTATGTCAATCAACAACCTGGATTAAGCACAGAAACAATCCTCAAGTCTACATCAAGAACAGCAAAAATTACAAATCTGTCTGGAAAGGTCTTAGGAAATTGCAGCTTTCCAGTGAGCATTTGTATGTCTCCTTTGGAGTTCTGAAATACCTAACATTCTGAAAGAGTTTGTTTCTTTAAATATGATTTTACAGAACAATCTAGCCTTAGTGCCACTGCATAAAAGCCCAAGTCACCACGAAGTGCTGCCTTTTCTTACTGAGGGTCTCGGTGATTTACATGGCCTGTGGTGCAGAGCAATTACAGTCATTTGTCCTTCTTCCCGTCCCCCTACACGTATCTTTTCCCAGCAGAAATAGAACAGTACTGCTCAAACTTAAAATATAATAAGCAATGTAGATAATAAGTTGTCCCAAACAAGTGATGTACACACTTTACGCAGTGCTGCAGTCGGGTCTGTGTACACAGATACCCAAACACCCTGCAGTGTGGTCACGAATCTTTTTACAAAGTGATCTGCATGTCATGTCCCTTCGTGCTAAACCTGTGTGGTGCCAGAAACATTACCTGTAGAAGTCTGTCGTATGGTTTTAAACCTCCCAGATCGCCAGGGCCAGCTGGTCGAATATTTTTAACATACACTCCTTTTTCCAATAAACCGTCTGAGACACTGAACCCAAAGTCTTCTCCATCAGAGTCCTTGTACAAAGTTACCTGTGGAGGTGATTTGACATGATGAGAAGGAAACAAACGAACAAAAAAGTTTGTCCACATTTCTACAAGCACTAGGCAGGCTTTCTTCCTAGCGTGTTTGGGGTTTTGGTTGAGTTTTTTTCCCCCCCCACATTAGAGAGCTCACTTACTTACCTACTATTGGGTACTTACAATATGATATGAGAGTCGTCCCCATTTTGACAGTATATTACTATTCTCAGAAGCCTCCTCATTCTTCAGTAATAAGCAGCCCTTTTCACTTCTGCTTGTCAGCTGGAAATTTGTGGGTTTTATCCCACCTTTGGTGGTGTCATTTTTTTGAGTCTTAGTTTTTTTTCCACCCTGTTCTCTAGTTGTCAGGATCTGAGTACAAGCATCCAATTGGTCATCCAATTAAGTTTAGTTTTGATTCAGGGATGAAGACCTGGCCTCAACCAAACAATCATCGGTGTTGTGTCTTCCAGAACTTCCATAGGGCATAAACGCCACCAGCACCGTAAGCCCTAGCCAGCTTGGTTTATGGCCAGGCAACGGTCCACCCTGTAAGGTCTAATCTCAAAAAAGTGCTCAGTATGAGAGTTATAATGCAATCATCTTTTACGAGAATATGAATAAGACTCCAGAAGGAGCTTTCGGGCAGTGTTCTTGCAGTCACATAGCCAAGAGATGGTCATTCAAAAGCAGGAAATAGAAGTTAGTAAAACTGTTAGGAGAAGGTTTTTCAGGTGTTCAGGGAACAAGTCCTCGTAGGTAGTTTTGTGAATTCAGTTATTTGATAGAAAAGGATTCAGACTTTTTTGTAGGTATGTGGTATTGTTTAGGTTTTTTTAATTTCTGAAGGTTTGGTTTTTTTTCCTTGCTTCTCTCTCACATCAGGAGTGCAGACCTGTGCAAGTAAATTGTGTGAGTCAATGGTGTGACATCTGACTGACACACTGATGCTGGCACAAAATCTGGGTGCAGATACAGTCACACAGTCAAAATTGGGCTTTTACTGCTATAGATTTTTTCACTTTGGGTTCAAAATACTGATTCAAAACGTACCTTGGCTGATAAAACCACAACATTAAGAGTGCTCTGTAATTTTATAATGGCTGGGTGTCAGTAACGCTCCATGTGCTGCATCCTCGTGCGTGCCAGCCGCTGAATTCCTTTCTGGTGTTTCTGAATCACGGACTCATTCAAGCTGTAGGGGACTTTGGGAAGTCTCTAGTTCAATCTCCTGCTCAAGGCAGGGCCAAGACCGAATTCAGATCGGGCTGCTGAGGACTCGGTCAGTATTTCATAGAAGAACGCCAAGGCACAGCAGTGCTGGGGCACAGCGCTGGCTGGTGCTGCCTTCAGAAAGCTGCTGAGATCCTCCTGCCTTAACTGCCATTGTGAAAAGGTAAGCACGAACAGACTAGGTTGTCTCAAAACAGGAGTGAAGGATTTGGTCAGATCAACAAAGAGCACAGATGGTTGGGTGTGGGTTTTTTTCCCACTCTGCAGTTTTCTTGAATTTACTTGGCTTTAGTAGTGTATCAACAGCGCTTTAACCAGAATGAAAACAGACTCGCTGGCAGGTTTGGGAGATATCCTGGGCAACAGCTGAGAGAAGATAGATACAACGCCAGCTGCTGCAGCATTAGCACCGTTTCATCTGCAGACGTGGAGGATGCATCGCTGGGCTGCTGTGAAAATATCTGTCTCACGCTGTGGTAAGCCCACATACCCACACACAGTATTCATCCCTTACTTTACACCAGTTCCTCCTCTTCCCTTGTTTTTCTCTCTCTGTACAGCACAGCACAGCAGAAAGCCATACCTGAAGTCCTATTAACTAAGCTGAAGGCTTTCTCCCTTCCAGTGACTTTTTTGGGTATGAGCTGTCATTTTAAACTTCCCAGTGCCTGCTGTGTTTAAGGTCTTTGCCTTCTTTTCTCCCATCTTCCCCCAAAGTAACTTCTTGCTGAACCTGTCATACTTCCTCCAGCTCAGTGTGAATTTTAGGAGTCAATGGGCATTTCAGCTGCTGAAAAACCTATCTGCAAATTCAAAATAATTCATCATAGAATGATTTTAATTTGTATCGACAGCTGCTGTACCAGCAGGACTCCGGGAAACTTGTAATAATTTGTTATCAACAGAGGCTTTTGTTTGTGGTATCATAGCATGTCTAACATGGCTTTGATCTGAAGTATGTTTGAAGCTGCTCTGAAAGTGCTGTAAGACTATCATTCTGTAAGACTAAAAAATAAATAAAGGAGGGAGATATGTTTTATTGCCAGATTTGTGTGCATTTCCTGGCAAGAATGAAAAATAATTAGCACTGGACCAAGACACAAATTCTCCTCAAATGAGATGATAACTTTCTTCCATGCTGTCACAAACGATAGGAGTTCTTCATGTTAACCGCTTCTTAAAGAAGCCTTGAAAAGTAAACGTAAAAATATGATACAGTGCCTAAGAGGAGAAGACTTACTTAAAATACTATGCACTGTTCTAGCACAGATGGCACAATTTTTAAAAGGAACTTTCCCTTTCCACTTTTTCTTTTCCCCTTCCTCTTCCTTCAGGCACTGGAGTTAAGTGGAGCTGGATCCAACCTCAGATGAACTACAAAAACATATGAAACGGGGGACTCTCTGGAGTCAGCTAGACTGTATTCTTGCCCTAAGGCATGATCAACTGCATCTAACCCATTTCTGAGAGACATTTATCTGTCCTGCTTTTAAAAATCTCCAGTGACGGGAGACTCCACAGTCTATTAAAGTAATCCCTTCCAGTGCTTCAGATGTTTTCCTTAGGTCTAAACTAAATCGCCCTTGCTGAGAGTTAAGCCTGCTGCTATCCACGGAGAACAAGATCACTTTATTCTCTCCTTCTCTGCAGCGATGTGAAACAAGGATTGTGTTTTCTCTGGACTCTGTTCAGCAGGTTAACATCCTTCTTTAATTTTCAGACCCCGAACTGGACACTCTATTACAGTCAAGACCTTATCAAAGCCAAGCTAGAGTGGAGAATAATTCTGCACGTACTACAGATGGTGGTCCCATTTGTACGGTCTAGGACAGTGTTGCTTTCTTCCTATTTTTAGTGAGTGGTCTATTAGCAAACAAAATACATGCAAATTCTGTTCTACAGATCTAAGGAAGTGCCATTCCACATTAGCTCACCTTATCTTGTGTCTTGTCTATAATAATGCCTGGGGAATCCACACGCTACTTCATGCCCAGCTTGTGAGTCAAAAAATGGAGCATTGTAAATGACAAGGGACATGAAAGTGGAGTTTTGCTGTGGAGGTGAGAAACTGCATTTGCAGGACAGTGGGAAGTACTGCAATAGTGGGGCACGGAGGGAAGCAGAACTTGAGAATGATCATCCAAAGTCTTTTATTGCCCCCCTAGTTGTTCGGGTTGGACTTTTCCTGATTTATACGGACTGAGCACTCTGGATCACTACCCTGCAGTCAGAACTTTTATGTATAGAAATATTTTCTCATTTGTCCGGTTCCTCAGATCTACAGATCATAAAAGATTTTAAAAACCTGTTTTCCTTATGGCTATCTTCTCTCGACTTTTGGTTTATTTAACAGGAGCTTGGAAATTAAAGAAACTCAGACTCACTCACTTGAGGGATGAGGTTGCGATTTGACTTTGTTGCATGTTTGACAGCTGTCACATTTTTTAGGTGCAAGTCACCCACAGAGAAATTTCTTTTGTATCATAGGTTGTAATTTCAGGGCTACTTCTTTTTAGGGCAGCATATATTCTTAAAAGGGAATCTCAGAGTAAAAACCCTGCTATCTGAAATACCCAGATTTTTATTTAATAACGGGTATGGGCAAAGCCTTACCACATAGGTTTCTCATCTTCACTTGCCAGTAGCGCAGCCCTGTCTGAAGGGTATGTGGTTGCAGGCAATTCATGCAACACCTAAATCACGCTGTTTTATCTGTACTTCTGATCACAACTGTTGGAAGGTTTGATCTCAATAGCAAAATCTCCATTATGGGCAATTTGTTAGACTTTTAAATTTACATCAGGAGCCTAAGGGAAAAAGAAAGCTGAAATGGAAATTTAATTCATATTTCATAAGCAATTAAATAGTTACAAATTCTAGACAGAGGCTTACAAGTTTTGAGTCTGTTTCCATGCCTCTCCTCCCTCTCAAATCTATGGGAAAAAGCTTAATTTAAATTCATACATCTTGCACAGATCAGCTATTGAGGTATTTTAACCGACTGTAATTTTAGGTTAATGACTACTTGCAATAATAATATTGAAAAATTATCTGATGTCTAGTGCATATTTTTGCTCTCAGAGGAATGCGTGCTCTGTGGAACTTTTAAAAAATGGTCCGCTATGATTTTTAGAAAAATATTAATCTATGTGCTTACCTAGGTAGATAAAATCAATTAAAGGCATTAATTAAATCTGGGTACTGATATAGCAATATGCTATCCAGTTAAATTAAATGTTACTTATTAAACCATCTAGAACAAATGTTTGAAGAGATTTGTACGACACATCTCAATCGTAGCTTCCTCAGGACAAAGACAGTTCAAGTACACATTTGGTGAATGTAATGCAGTGAAGTAAGAAAGAGCAGTGAAGAATTCAGGTTAACTTGCTGCGAAGTTTGCAGCATTCAGCAAAACAACCCTCAGGGCCGTGTTACCTTTCTGACAGGTGTATATCTGAGAAGGACAAGCTAGTCATGTCATCTGCTCACCACGCTGTTCTGTTAGACTTACTTGCTTGTGTTTGTAGCCTGAGCAGTTTTTATCTAGTCTTATTCTCTCTTACCCTATACAGTCAGACTGGCTATTGATGCATTTCATTTTTATGTGTGGCTTTTTCTTTGGTAGAATCATATATTCTTGCTCTCTCGCAATCAGATTATGAAAAACCAGTGGAACATCGACCTTAGCTGGCGCATTTTCTGCAATCAAACTTAAGGTATGAGCTCTGATCTATAGGGCACATAGGCCCTGACTCAACAGGCATGCAGACTCATCGCACTGAGGCAGTAAATAGGCACCTGACCTGTCCTGCTGAAGAAACTGGGAAAGCTCAGCAGCATGCAGCCAAGTACATGCTTGAACATCTTGCTGAGGTGAGTCTTAGGCAAGCTATGTCTTAGCTTGTATTTCAAAGACTGTTCATACCATCACAGTTTTCCAAAACTGTTCTTACTCCACTGGTTGTCCCATCAGTGGCCCAGCTGATTAGGACATTTGCCTGCAGAGGGCAGAGCACATTTGCCAGTAAGAAAGACCTGTTATGAAAAATACTTAAATCAAGGCATTTCTCTGACAGTGAAGTGAAGTCACTCTTGTGATACTTGCAGCTCTTCTGGAAAACTCTCATTGGACAAGCTGTCCATGAGAATAGCAACCGAACCGGTTATTAGTGTTAAACTAGAGGTCTAAGACAAAAATGAAGGAGGAGAGAGAAAGTAATGGGCATGAATACAAAAGCAGCCCATGATGCTTGGGTTAACCTGCATGGGTGACCATAGGGGTACAAGCCCACTTTGGTGAATCAGACCGTAAGATCCAGTCACTCGTTTCTATTTTTCTTCAACGACTGTAAGGATTTGGAAAATCCTTGGTGCGGGTTCAACTTTTAGATTTTTAGAAAGGAAATGACTCTTTTCTGGATGACAGAAGAGGCAGTATAAGCAAACTCAGCATCACTTCAGCAGACAGTGGAAAAGTGGGTATATTGTCTGAACAAAAACTAGAAATCACTAAAACAGAAGGTCACAGCAATCTTAAAAAATAGACAACTGAAGAGAGGGAAAGCTCAAGGACAGGGTATTTTTTACTGCCCAGGACTCTAAGAGCTAGCAGCTATCACAGAATACTGACTCAGTAATAGAAATCTGACTCCTCCTTTCCAGGAAAGGATTTATTTTATCAATCATGAAAGGCTGGTTTTATAATCCATAGGAGAAAACTGTGCCTTTGCTGAATGTGAGCGTACCACGAAATGCCTATTGGCGTAGTTTTGTTTTATATCTCTCATTTACTCGCCACTCAGGAAAACTGAGCACAGTAACTAACTCCATTAATCACTTCACATCAAGCTGGACATATGAATAGCTTAGAACTATCACAACACATCCTATTGATTGTTTACATTGGCAATGGATTCATTTTCCGTACATAAATCCAGTCTCTACTACCTTCCACAAACACTCATTTAGCCCATACTGAGTGAGTCCTTACCTCACTGAACTAAACTGAATGAACTACAAACTAAACTCAGTCAAACCCGCAGGGACTAGAAACCAAAACAACTCTCTTGAGAATGACAACATGTGACGTCTTAACGAAATTTCTCCATGCTTCTGCCTCCTCTCTGGGAAGATCTCAGACCGTTAAGAGGATGATGGGTGCAGGAGATGGGTGGCTCATTCCCATCAAGTAGAACAGCATTCTAACGTCCCCCAAAGTTTTGGAAACTGGTTGCTGTTACTGCCTCACTGGACATGAGACTTAAGCTGGTAGGGTGTTTGCTCTGCATGTCTAAAGAGACTTTATCCAGTATTTCCTTGGGGTGCAGAGCCACCTTCATATCACCGGGTGATTTCAACAGTCTTGAGCAGTGAAAAGTTGCATAGACTGAAGATTAGTTATCCTTTTTACAGCAAAGGAATTATAAAGAGAAGAGAAGCAATAGCTAATTTGAAATAACATTCTACATTATCTACATTGAGTCTCATGCATTTGATTCAAAATGAGTGTTAATTTGAAAAAGGACCAATGGGAACCCCAAACCCTCCCGGGTAATTTCCTAAAGAAATGTATTTTCTAGAAATTAAACTTTGCTTTCTTAATGAACACATTTTGCAGAGATGAGTTACTGGTATTGTCAGTTCAAATTACCAGTGGATCCTCCTTGCAAAAGAGCAGTCCCTTTTGAGGATTTATTGTAAAATGAAATAGTAGACAAGGATGCATATTTGTTTGTTTCCCCCATAAGGATGTATCATTAATGTGTTTGTTAAGAACTAATATGCATGGCCCCCAAATTACATCTGTGGAGTCAAAATAAAAAGTGCTTACTGTATTGCCATATAATTAGATTCCCTATGCTGAATATATTATTTCAAAGCTGTCAGAAGAAAATTACAGACCTTGTGTAACTCCACAGGAGTTGGTGACATGATTTCTTTCATTTCTTGCTTAATTTTTCTCAGAACCATGGACTTTCTTCCCACATCTGATGGCAACGTGTTGCTACGAGTAGTTTGACTGTAGTGTGGCCTTACAGTACTTCTTTCCTGGAAGCTGGCTTGTCTTCCCAGCTGGCTACGAGGTTGTGGGATTTCATGATTCAAACTCATTGTACTTCCTGACATAATTGTGGCCTAGAGCATTAATGAACAGGTTAATTTTTAACACAGAATGTGGGTTAAGTAAGTGGTTAAATCATAGCAGTAGGAAAAACGTATCTATTCTTTGTTAAAACACAATCACTCAGGGCACAGCAAAAGGCAAGAGGATAGATGTTCAATCTGCTTGCAAGTCACTATAAAATAAAGGACCACAACAAAACACGATGATGATAACAAAACCCTATGGGCAAAAGTTTTCAGATGGCATTTCAAACTAAAATACTGAGCACTAGGACGGCTATGCTTGTAAGCTAGTCCCCTGGCAGACTGAAGAGTGTGTAGTATAATCACTTATTTTAAAAATATTTTACGTGTAAATAAAATGATATTTAAGTTGCGGCATAATTGCATTTGTTGGAATCGGAACTATAGGAAGGCATTTACAATTCAGACACTGTGTGCAAGGTAAAAAAATGTGAGTCAGCAGAATATGTAGGCAGCTCTAGAGTGAGCACTGGCAGAGAGCGTGCCCGGATACCATCCCAGGCCGGGGAAAGCTCAGTGCAGGTAAGCTCACTGCCTGGAAAGAAATTTTGCATAACACGCATATTGCAAGAGTAACTGCCTTAGCTTAGCACCAGTACTTCAGAGATACAAGCCCCTGTCTCACTGCTGTTTTTAATCTCAGTAAAAGCTAGCCTGTTACGTTAGATGCAAGAATGCACGGAGGGTGAAATCTTGAAAGAAGACGACAGAAGTCATCTCATCCACTGGGTGGAACAGACTGACATGAAAAGCACCAGTGCACTGCAACCAGCCTCCTCCCTTGTGAAAGACTTTCTGCTCTGGGGAACAGGAGGCAAATGCACTTTGGCGGAGGCACCGTACAGAGGTGCCACTGCTGGGACAGGGTACGCTGAATTTCCTATTTATTTTCCCTGGAGCCGGTGGACAAGCAAAAAGGGAAATTAAAAGGCCATAACCTGAACTCTCACTGGGACAGGATGCAGGCAGCCTGCTTGAAAATGAGAAGTAAAAATGAAGGGGGAAAAAATAAGGGGAAAACTGGCAAATAAACGTTTGCTTCCAGCTCTGGTGAGCACGTCTGTCACCCTTCTTTCTCCCAGCTCCGGCACTACTTTCACTACGAGATAATACATTGTAGCCTTAACAGTCTCTCTTGCGCTCCGTAATGACTGATACTAGTCCCTGATGGAGCAAAAGCATCCAGAGGACTTGGCAAACAACACTTTTCTTTGCTCTTTGACTGAAGACCTTGAAATGAAAAACGGTAAGGAGTCCTTGGACTACGCAATGGCACTGCATAAAATAGAGGCATCGCCATTCTCAGCATCCTGTCATACTGAATGAGTCTTGCTTTCTTTTCAGAGCTGTGGGTTGTGCAACAAAGCGATGCTATAAATGATACAGCATCTACAGTTCTGAATTTCACTTTTGTGAAAGGCTGAGGAAAATTCAACGTGTTGAAGTAACTGAATTCTGGTCAGCGTGAATGATCTATTTCCATTTCGGAATTATCTACTTCCATATCCTTTTATTGTGCTCTGAATATTGAAAATTACAAGAGAAGCCTGTGGTACTGAACCATATCTAACTATGGAATTAAACCAGTATAACATTTTCTCCTACATTTCTCTGGTTTGCAATAACAAATACATGAGAATCACATTTTGCTACCCATACATGCAATACAAAAGCCATAAATTTGAGGAAGTAAATGAATCTGAACTGAAAAACTTTCACCCAGTTATGCCATTCACATTCCTCCTGGCTGCTAAAGGACTTTATATAACATAAAAATGAAAATGAGATTCTGCCGGTTTTGCAGCTCCAGGAATTTAAAAGAACATAAAAGAAAATATTTTAGGACCTTTCATTCCGCAGCTTTAAGTGGCAGTATAATCTTAATTGTTCTGATTAGACAACTTAGAGAAAAGGTGATTAGAAAAATAAAGACTCAAAGTTACTCTGTCTCTGTTCCCTTCCCCCTCTACCCACTTCACAATCTAACACGAAGCACGGTTAGATTTGCACTTAACTTCAGGATGAAATATGAAAATTTGTTACGTAGGCAAGAAATTGCTGTATAACGAATATTTCTCACGCTGGCAGCTTTTTTTGCAGAGTGGTAAGATTATAGGTAAACATTTTGAAAAGCTGATTTTCTTTTATGTTCATCTTAATCAGATTAAGTTTCAATTTGAAAGACAACCTACAACATGCTAAGAAAAGCTGCATAAAGCGTCTGTCAGAGAATGGGATGCACTGCTGCAGGAAGGTTATGCCCACTTAAGTTCTGCGCCATTTGCTGCCTGTGCAGACAGCATCAGGGGTTATGCACAGCAGAAGCTGCAAGTCAAAAGCTCTGGGGTGAACATGTTTATAGAATTTTGGTTGCATTGTACAAAAGAAAACAGCTCTGGTTAGGGGTGGGGGAGGCAGCTGCACAAGCAAAAATATAAAGGTAAAGGGTAGGTACCAAGAGAGTCATGTTTCTCAAACACAGACGCCTGTCAGCCTTGTCCTGTGGAGAGGGGTTAAAGCTTTTAAATGAATTGGTGTGATTAGTGCAACTTAAAAGAAAAAAAGGAGAAAATAAAATGAATGTAAACCAAACCAAAACCATTATATTTCTCTATAATCGGAAACAAAGGTTAAGATTGTTCTACCTCTAGTTCCCTCAGAATTCCTGACTGGCCACAGGTCTCTAAATCCTCCAGAGCCTGAGACCAGAAATTTTCCTCCTGGTCAGCCTCGATGGTATCATGGGTACCTGTGAAGCTAGATTTACAACGAGAGGTTAAAAAAATGTGGACTTTTTTTTCCCTCGAAAAATATATTTTACACATGTGCCTTGCCACAGATTGCAACTTGAATGACAGGACGTTACGGTAGGTAGGCAGGAGAGTGGGGAAGAGTCGCTGGATGAGCATGCAGAGCACATGACAGACAAGTCTTCTCATAACCTGGCAGTCGCTAGCAGCTGGCAGGATCTGAGCAGCAAGTTATTCAGTAAGGAGATAAATGGATTCCAAGAACAATTCAATACACATTTTACTGGATTGAAACTGGGACCTCCCTATGAAAATTAATGAATCAACCAGTAGCTGTGTGCAGAGCTGCTCCATGCAATGAATATTTGCAATAAAACCTTTCAACCTCACAGACTTCTCCCAGGGAATATGAAAAGAGCCCTCATTTTTGCAAACAGCATTTTGCAAAAGAGGGATGGTGGTGCTTTTTACCTGATTCCAGCAGTCTAAGCTGCATTTATCATTATCAGTTTAAGCCCACCTGACTGCCATCATATAAACTGCTCCGCTCATTTCATACAGAAACACAGAGAAACTTGCAGGGATGCAACTGTCTTGCATGGAGACTTTGGTCTCTGTGTTTCATAAACGCACCGAAGCCTTATTACTATCACTCTTGAGCAAAATGTTGGTGACAGCGATGCTTCGGGAAGTTGCCCCGCAAGAGAGGTCTGATAAAAACCGCCAACTCTGGACTGCAGCAACACAGCCCAAAGCAACACCGTTACAGTGTATGTGTGTGTGGGGAGGAAGCAGGAGTTTTTTGCTGTCTTAGCAAGGGGAATCGGCTCAAAGAAGGTTCACACAAGCTGCTGCACGGGAGGGGGCTGCTTATGTGAAAGGCACAAGGGGAAGGATGAGGAAGGAAAGAACGAGAATTCACCCTTTTGGTGGCAGCAAGCTGTTACTTTGGAGCAGCTGCCCATGGACTGCAGCTAGTGGTGCTTAACAGCACGTAAACAGAGCAAACACTATTATGGAAGCATCTGAGGCCTTGCTTGACAAACAATGTATCACTGAGAATAGCGTGAATGTAACACTGTTAACAGAATAGCTTTTAAATAGGATAATTGCCCAGCACAACAGACGACAGCTTGAATGCTTCACACGCATGATACTCTGCCTCAGAGATGCTTTCTTACAGTTATGATCAGTCAAGCAGACAATGGTCAGCCATTTCAATCTCTTATTGCAATGATTCTCCATCTAGCATCAGTGTCTCTTCTAAGATATTGCAATAGATACAGCAATGGTGAGAATACCTACTCAGATCACAGATGCAATTCCTCCCAGGCAAGATAAGAAAGTATTTAAAACATGATTTTAGAAAGATCCTTGACTTCTGAAATTAGCTCTTTCAATAAACCTAAGTAGTTGTTTTAATAGCCAATGCTGAACACAGACTAATTTATCCATTACAATACCTTTCTTTATATTGCATACTAATATAATATAAAATGGAACTTGAGTTAATGAACAGGATTATTTGAGGCAATTGTCTGTGACAGCAAAGACTGGATTTCCTAGAACTGGAGGTCCATTTCTTCTCCGACTTCTGTGAAATCTGAAATCATGATGCCTATATGGCTGGACCTCTTTTTAGCTGAAGCAATTCCTTTTTCTGCCCTCACCTCCTCTTTTGCCTTTTCTCTGAGTCTTGTCTCCTGGTGTGTGAAATGCTCAGCTTTTGCATCTCCATTACAGCTATGTGAATAAACTGATTTGTAGCTGAGCTACTGCACCAGAAAAAAAGAGGTACCAAAATAATTTCTCATCTAGATGGCTTTTTTTTTCTGAAACCTGAGAGATTGATTTTATGTCATGTGAAATACTGTTTGACCTCTAATGAATATATCTGGTTTTCTGATGCTTATTCAAAGAGCCATTGGAAATTTAGATGCATAGAAATACTGAAGGAGAGGTAGTGGGACAGATACGAAGACACAGGTGCCTATGATTTGGTTCTTATTGCCATATGAGAGAGAAATTTTTTTTTTTGTTAAATTCAGGAGGTGACAGGATGTTGTAGGATCTGGCAGACTCATTCCTGTAAGTATTGTTTTAATGTGCAAAAAATTCTCCCTGGAGCAGGAACTGTAACAGACTTGTCCTACCTGCCAGTGATAGGTAGACACCAGGCTACAGAGCGCTTTAAGCTCTCTGGTTTCATTTGCTTGCCAACTGAAATTTCACTGTCACTCAACGGCATATTAATGATGTGTTTTCTGCTTTTACCCTGTTTTTCTCCTTTTTCTCATTTCAACTTTCTTCCCGCCCCACCCCCCTCAGCCCAGCTGGATCTCACTCCTGTGCACTCTTTGTTCTCCTACCTGGAAGTATTCCACTCTTCCAGCTGTCCCCCACCTTTCCTTTGCCCACCAGAGGCACCTTTCCACATCTTGCCCTCTTTCTTCATGCTTCTGATGCTCTCTCCCCCTGATCTTTCTACAGAAGTTTGCTTTAAATGGTTTTCTTGATTTTCTCCCAATGTCTCAGTCTCCTTCTGTTGCCACATATTCTTGGAAGCTGTGCTACACAAAATAAAGATAAGAAAAAATTACTTTTTAGTGTTAGAGAAGAAGATAAGATGCTTAGCTAGAGGCAGAGATGAGGTGGTTTTCTGGGCATCCCTGTAACAGGCTAGAAGAACAGACATGCCCTTCTCCAATACTCCAGCACTTGGTACAGGAACACCATCAAGTGTGGCATAATTCATTTTACAGATACAGGATTAAAATAATCATTATTTTAATTTGTGCCATATATCCCAGGTGTAAGTCACATTGACAAGTAGAACAAGACCCCTTATTGTGCATTCTTTCTGTTGAATAGCGCTTTAAAATAGTAGCAGAATACATGCTTTTCATTTAGAAGATTCTGTATTTTACAATCCAGCTTCCTGGTTCACTGCTCATCAACTTTTTCAGCCTATTACTTATGTAACTGCAGAACAGTAGGTGTTCTGGAATCTATGGCTGCATCTCACCTGAGAGACAAAAGATGGGCTTTAACTGTGGATAAAGACGCTGCTATTAAATTAAAGATATTAACTTACCAAGAATGGGAGATATGAATAAAACTATGGTCATTTCCTTTATTAAATATTGCCCACTACTAGCCTATGAAAACTTCTAGTATGCTTCTGGCCAGTAGGGACCAAAGGAGCTGCCCAGATCTTAGCTATCATCTTGCCAGACTTGTCTCCAGACAAAATGTCACTGGGCAACCTGCTGTATCAGAGGATTTGTCATTCAGATTCTGAAAAGCAGCACTGGCATCTAAGCCTTGCCTTGATTTGTATTTCGAAGGTAACAGACTGGACCTTATGGATTTACTTATCCAGTATGTTTATACAGGAACCAGAAAGGTTCTCTTTAGTACTAAACTTGAATTTCTCACAGACTGGGATTTCAGGCTCATTGTGCTGCTACACCAAGAAACTGTATTTCTAACGAAGGACATGCATGTCTGCAAGTCCTGAGGATGGGTACAAAGAGCACAGAAATCTTTCTAACTGTGATGTCTATCTTCCCTTGTCTGAGGAAGAACTATTCTTTGGCAGGAATTACCCAAGTCTCTGCAGTGGTTCCACTGCCGGATCATCCTTAGAATAGAGAATAAGAGACTTTTGGGTGTTTCACTATCTCCAAGCATTGTCAACTATGCATTTTTCCCTCAGGAGGTTCTTTTGCCTGCAGAGAAATGCATTGAAAAAGAAATTTACTTCTCAGAAGAAGAGGAATGAATGCATGGCAAACTACCATAGCTTTGGACAAGACATTTCTACCTGGATCACTTTGTTCTCCTACTGAATCACTGCAGATGTCTCAAGCATTTATGGAAGAAGACTCTAATTTCTGCTTCTTTGCACAAACCAAAATGAAGAATTTTCATGGAAGACAAAAGATTATTAGCCACTTTACTTGTAGGTTTATTTTTGTGGAGTGGAAAACAGAGCAGGTTTTTTCTGAAACTTACCCAGGGGAATGCCCTAATTTTTTTGTTTGTTTATTCTTAAGAGATAAATGCTGTGTTTTTTTTGTCTGAAGTAACTCAAAATAAATACACGTCTTGGTTTTGGCATCATAATCTTCCATAAATGTCACTGATCTACTCCAATAAGTTTCATGAACTACAAATACTGTATCTCGTATTTAAAGGAAGAGCTGTTCCAGCTGCATTAGAAAAAACATAATTTCATTCCAGACAGTAAGTGTTCATTTTTGAGGCACTGCTGCAGCTGCAAATCAGAAAACAGAAACTCGTATGGGAACTTACCTGCTTGCTGTAGGTCGGTCCCATTCATCATCACTCAGCCCAGTATCATGAAACGGGTGGTTTCGCGGTTTGCTTGGAGGGGACAAACTAGTCTGTTTAGGACTCCTCCATTCATAGGCATTGAAGTTGTATCCTGAAGCCTGATAGCTGTGTCCTAAAAAGATGAATTACATATTTACGGCACTGTATATGTTGTAATGACAGAACAGCATATCTCTGAAGCTGGGTTCTCTAGAACTTGGATGTGGACTCATGATTGCTTCCTTTTTTTTGCAGTAGTAGTAGATTATTTATGACCTAAATTACGCCTGCAATTAGGTGTGCTCTAGAGCTTCTCCTGTGAAAGTCCACTGAAAGCAAAATCTTAAATATATCTAACACTGTTCTACTGTTTATGTCTCAGCTGCTTCTCATGTTTAGTTCTAGATGTCTTCACAATTTATCAATTTCCAATTTGACATCATACATTGAATATTAGTGAATAAATCACGTGCATTATGGATGTGTTAAGTATGTGTTAACGTGGTCATGCCCAAATTTAAACCTAAGCTATTAAGAAAACTGCGCTTCAGACCTACTGAAAAAAGAGTTCGCAAGGATGCATTAAAAAACCCCATCAACTTGACTTTTCCAATTACTAGCAAGAAAGTTTTTTCTTCCTCCTGGTAACTTTCTCAAATTTGGAAGCAGTGCAGCCAAAAATTAGTGACATATTTAGTGTCAATTATGCACAATACTACCAATCTGTAGAATGACTACCTAGATGCAAAAGTTGGCATGGTGCAGAGGCTCTCGAGTGACCATTAACTGGAGTAATGCCAGAACAGAAAGGAGGACGTCTGTCTCGGCACCGCTGAGGCAAGGACCCATTAATACAAGCGCAGGACTGTGCTGTCACAGCCCTGCGCTGCCCTGCATAAAGGCCAACATGGGAATCTCTGTACCGTGCCCCTTTGTGGAAGGGAGACTTGCACTTAGTTTATTTCTGGGTGCTTTTATCGTACAAGCAATGTTGGTATTAGTTCAATAGTATTTCTTTAACTGAATTAAGTGTAATTTGAATTCCAAGTAGGAACCAGACAGTCTGGCTTCCAAGTGATGTATCAAGAAGAACACATGGATCGACTTGTCACAAGCTGATGCTGATCTGGTAAGCAAAATCCATTACAGTACAGCTGCTATATATATTTAATCTTGACATATTCCTTTTCTAGCTCTATAGTTGGCATTTTCTGATGTGCATATTGGATTAGGAAGTCTTATTTTGGGGATGACTAACAAATATCACTGCTGTCACCTCTCTGAAGAGGGCAATTTGCTTCCATAAATCAGTCTAGACCTGTCTCCCTCAAATCCCATGTAACTACAGAGTTGTGTGCATTCTCCAGCTAATTGGCAGACGTTAACATACTCCCAGATTCTAGGAAGGGTTTTGGTTGTGAAAATGTGACTGCTGTGTGGGGAAGGCTCCAGATTATTAAGGCAGACACATTAGACAAAGGTACAAAATGGGGTATTAATTCAAGGAGAGAAAAGACTGCTCACCAGCATTAAATTAGTAACTAATAGGATAAAACATTATCTGGTGCTCCAGAAACATTCCCCAAACTCCTCAATTTGCTTAGCCTGTGCTTATGCCAAGAAAGGTTTGGAGAGATGCCAAACTCAACTTGACAGGTCAAGACAGAATGAACTTTAATAGAAATGTGGGTCACATTAGTACCACAGCAAGGGATAAGGTGCAAATCTGATTACACTCAGGCTGTTTAGCAGAAGTGCCATGTATCCAGCCAAGTCTGGGCTGATATTTTCAGGGGAGTTAGAAAAAAAACCTGCTTTGAGATACTGGTTTTGTTTTGGCATGGCATTCGAGTGATCAGGACTTAGGAAAGCAGACTGGGCCTCAATCCTTTCCACAGTCCAACAATTTGCTCCAAATATCATCAATTCACCCCGGAAATGAGAACTATCATTTTGGCACTTTTTCAGCAATACTTCTCCTTAGACCTTAAAAATATCAGAAGAAAATCTAGCATGATTTATTTTGATAAACTGACCAAAACAGTTAAAAACAGAAAAGGGGACAAATTCATCCCAACTCTAACTCCAGTGAAATACAAATTAGACAGGGAGGGTTTAGCCCAGTACATTGAGTACTAAATAAAATGTTATATGGAACAGTAAATTAGAAGTAAAATGTAGAAAACAGGAGTTATAATTAAATGTATTGAGACGGTCTTATTTAAAGTAAGTTGATGCCAAATATATGCAATAAGGCTACGAAATACTTAAAAATTAAAGAACAGAAAAAAATGGCCACTAGTAGTGACATCAGCTACTTCTTGATCTCAAGCAGCTCAGCTGGTTTCAAAGGAAACATTCTGCTTTCCAAAAGAAACCACCAGTGTTATCGCTGAGCAGGCACATTAGAGAATAGCAATAAAAGTAATCAGCACAGAACTTCAGTCTGTATGGGAAATCTGCTGGGCCGACCTCGGTTTCAGTTCTCTGTGTGAGGGTACAAAACAGCTGTCCATGAGCTACTACCAGAAAGCAACAGAAAGCAACAGAGAAATAAAATTGAAAGAATGTGTGCAACCAGAGCGAGCGAGAAAAAATTATTTGAGGTAAGGATCTACCTGTCCAAATACCTGCCAGGTAGTGGGAATACCTGCTTTACTATGGAAATAAACATTTTAAAGAGAGTTAAATAAAACACTGAAGCTGCATGGAAGTTATTTTTTCTGTCATCTAGAATATTACAAGGTGTCTGTATCCCTCACTGCCTAAATAAATGTCTTACAAACTAAAATGAAATTATTTGAAAATCCTATGTAAAACAATAGTCAAACAGAAGTAGAAAATTTAGTGTTAAAGAAAATCATGTCTTTAAATAGAATGATTGTTTTTGGGGGCTGAAAGTTAGATGTTAATGCTGCAGGAATGAGGAAGAAGCCAAAGATTTACAAATCACAAGCAACACCTAATGTTCCCCCTTCAGCAGTTTATAATAAATCTGTTGTCAGTTAAAAATTACTGCATATGAGCATCAAATTCATGAACATCTTCAGTGTGTTCTGTGCCTTGCATTGATCTGTATTTGAAGGATAAACTCATTTAGCTGTGGATGAGCTATGGACTGGGCTATTCAGACGTCAGTAAAGCTAACAAAAGCCTGTTAATGTGTTGATAAATGCTTCAGAACACATCACATTGTCATGAAAGAATGAATCTGAGGCCAGCCAAGTGTAAGAAATCATGCTGCCTGGCAAGGTGTGTGGTCATAATGAGACACCGGCACATTACGAAGTACAAGGTTTAAGTTGGTTTAAAGTTGGTACAGATAAAGTTCTCCTTAAGGCAAAGGAAGGTCAGCCATGAAGGTGATAATTTCTACTTTAAATGTCAATTGCATTCTTGATAGTACCTTGATTTCCAAAGCTGGTATCAATACCAGAGCCATCCCATGACTCTACGGCGCTGTCAACACTTGGGACTGTAGTGGAATAGATGTCTGAGAGTTTGCCAGATTTCTGTGCAGCAGAGGTTTCATCTTCAGCATCGCTCAGTTCACTTACGTGACCCACAGGGACAGAAAATTTCTTGGGACTGGTAGCTGAACAGGATCATAAAAAAAGAAAAGGGGGTGGTGGTCATTGCTTTACTGCAGTTCTAAGAATATGCTTTTTACTACTGACACGACGTTTTTCCAGGGATGGCCTAAATGCTTGTTAATCTGTAACAACACACGCATTAAAGACCACTGATGCTACCCTTGGCCATACTCACCATCTGTCTGCTTCTTGATTTTCAAGGTGACAGTTTCTCCTGCCATCTGTAATAAATGAATGGCTTCACTCAAAGGTTTTCCTTTCAGACTGCTACTATTTATTGCTAGGATTCTGTCTCCTATGTGAATTGCCCCAGTCCTACAATCAGAGAGAAGTAAAACACTGAGGAGCATATAAAGCAACAAAGGCAATTTCTTCACATATTTGGAGCATGAAAGTCTCATCTCCCTTTCTTTCATTTTGCTTTTATAGCCGTGTTACAGAGTAATTCTTTTGTTAGAAACACTTAAAGCAAGTCACCTTTGCTGTAGTGACAATAGCAGAGTTGAGGCATGGAGATGGGGATTTCTGTGTTACTGCAGTAGGTGGGTTAATCACCTATGGATGATATTCATTGCAGCCCACCTGTTTAAAAGCAATCTCAGACAGCTCAGTAAATTCTGAAATGAGTCAAGTTTCTAGAAGTCTCACAGCGTAACAGATAATGGCAGTGTGAGCAAGTAACCAGCTATTTCACCAGTGTGGCTTTCAGGATGGATCATATCAAGAGAAGAAAATAAATTCTTTTTGTGTAAATGCACTGTTTGTTCTGGCTGCACACAATATGATGTTTTGTGTGCTGTCAGTTCTCTCTGAAACCACCACCAAAGGTACCAGTTGCAATGACTCTACCTGTCCTAGAAATAACAGGCGATAGAAAACCTTAGCATTTCCATTACTCTCTATACATCACTTACCACGAGGAGCATTTCTCCTCCTCAGATAATGCTCGCTACAGTGTATGTAAGTGCAGATACAGATGCAGTGTGTGTATATGATAAGCAGCATATTTTCAGATAAATTTAAGACACATGAAGTGCTTTCCTTACCTATTCTACTTTACAAGGCTATTGCTTTTAAAAGGCTGCTAAAATGTTCCTGTGACTGTGCAGTTTGATTGACTAGTCTTTCCTAGGTGATTTATAATAAGGACTACAATCCTCTGCTCTGTCTTGTATAGTATGTGCAAGAACATCCTGTTAAGATATTCCTCATGCTCCTGAGCTTGGCAATGATCAAAAAATGACAGCAAAAGGATTATAAACTCAGATTCGGAGAATTATAAAAAAATAAATTCCTAAACCACAAAAATTAGCATGTTCAGGTAAACAAAATAAATCTTCACCTTGACAAAAGAAACACTTAAAAATAATTTGCTTTCCAATTTACCTTTCAGCTAATCCTCCTTTTGTAAGGCTGGAAATGATTATGGGATCAAAGGGCTCTTCAGTACCAGAGATTGTAATTCCAAGAGGCCCACCATAGCGCTTGAGCTCAACAGTATAAATAATTGCTCCAGAGCTCTCCTGTTCATCTGCAATAAATGCCAAGGGGATGCAATTGGTTTCTTATGAAAGAGGGAATGAAAAAAATAGCACGTTCAGTCTAGTAACTGGTAATCAAATAACATTTTCAAAGGATTACATTTCAGATACACTTCTTAATCATATTCTACTGGATTATTTAAAAAAAAAAATTCTCTTGTGCAATTTCTTTTTTATTGCCAAAATCTGATTACATTGAAGTCAATAGAAAAACTCCCCTCATTCTATTAAGATTAAATTTTACTCTGTTTAAAATCTTTGTCTTCTTTCCTATTAAAATGTAACTTCAGTCTATTTTATGACAGAATCACAGAATGGTTGAGGTTGGAAGGGACCTCTGGGGGTCACCTGGTCCAACCCCCCCTGCCCAGGCAGGACCACCTAGAGCAGGTTGCCCCGGACTGTCTCCAAATGGCTTCTGAATATCTCCAAGGATGGAGACTCCACAACCTTTCTGGGCAACCTGAGCCAGTGCCCATCACCCTCACAGTAAAAAAGTGTTTCCTGATGTTCAGGAGGAACCTCCTGTGTTTCAGTTTGTGTCCCTTGCCACTGGTCCTGTCACTGGGCACCACTGAAAAAAGGCTGGCTCCGTTTTCTTCACACTCTCCCTTCAGGTATTTATACACATTGATAAGATCTCCCTGAACCTTCTCTTCTCCAGGCTGAACGGTGCCAGCTCTCTCAGCCTTTCCTCATAGGAGAGATGCCCCAGCCCCTTCATCATCTTCGTGGCCCTTCGCTGGACCTGATCCACTATGTCCATGTCCCTCTTGTGCTGGGGAGCCCAGGACTGGACCCAGCACTCCAGGTGTGTCTCACCAGTGCTGAGTAGAGGGGAAGGATCACCTCCCTCAACCCGCTGGCAGTGCTCTGCCTGATGCAGCCCAGGAGGCTGTTGGCCACCTCTGGCGCAAGGGCACATTATTAGAGAAAAGACCAGTTACTACTATTGTATAAATACTGGTACTCATCTGTTTCTTGAACTGAATGGAAGATATTTAGAATCAAAGATAATTCAAAAGTTTTAAAACCAAACTTCCTTAAAAGAACTGTGGGAAAAGTCAAAAGTCATGATAAGATGAGCAGCTGTCTTACTAAGAGAAGCTGAAATATATCCCATGTTTTTGATGGACAAGTTTTAAACTTTTGTAACAGAATCAAAAATAGCTTCTGAATTATCAACTAAGTTGAATAATAACTCCCTTAGATTTCTGAATTATTTACTAAGTTGAATAATAACTCCCTTAGATTTGATTTAATTATATTTCATGAAGTCATTTGCATTATTTTCAAATTTTAGTCTCACCAAACAATCATCAGAAATGGAGAAGAATTCATCACTGGGTAAGCTTAAATACAATGTATTTTCCTTAAACTATACCCAACAGTTGGTGCAGCAACAAGAAAGGCTCCTGTATTTAAACAGTGCATGCTCTTTACATATTATCAAAAAAAATCACAGCAGGAGTGCAATCAACTGTAGCATCTTTGAGTTGTAAAGGGATATTTTAAAATTCAAAATGTCAGATTTCTCCTCAGATTAAAATAACAAATGCTCCCTTGCCCATCTCATGATATTGGTATTCAGCCAGGACGTCTGGCCTGGCGGGCAACTTTTCCTAGATCTGTGGGTAATGACATTTCGAACGGCTCACCGAGTGTGGAAAATGTTTAGGATGCATATTCCGTAAATGTTACTAGAACTAACCTGAGACAAGTTAGAAAATTCAAATGTTCCCATTTCTGCTCCTGTAGATAGAAAAACTTTAAAAGGAAAAAAGATACCTGCATCGCTAGCAAATGTTCAAAGAGTTGCTTTTGTCTAGTGCTGAACATGGTACTTAAGCAGAGCTGGAGAAACACCAATATTTTTGGAGCTACTTTACTTCTTCCCAATTTGCAGAAAATGTAGGCCTTTAGCTTCCCCCCACCCCAACTCCCTCCTATTTCCACCTTGCTATCGACATAAAGAAAATGGTACACACATAGAATCAAAGGAGAGAAGAATTAGTGTTGTTTATTCAGCAAAGAATACTGGGATTTTCATGCCTAGTGTTGGCCTTGTATTCCTACTCGGGGCATTACCATCAGTGTTTTGGCACAGTTCACATCAACTACGCTTTATCTGACATGCTCTTTCCAGAAGCACCCAACTCCCAAGACCCCACTGGAAGCCTCTGGCCGAAACACAGTGGGCTAGAACGTAAGCTGCCACTGCGCAGCGGAAGAGTGGCAGCTCTTGCTTGCTTGCTAGAGCATTTATGGAAGAACAACAAATCTTCTGGGATCTAATGCTGATAACATTTACACAGGTGTGGCACTGACACGGTACAAGACTTCAACTGGAGGATGAAAAGTAATCCACCAAGCTAATTGAAAATGTAATAGCCAGTATTTGCTAAGGGTCGACACAATACTGATGTTTCTCTGCTATCAACAGTAAGTGAATAAGAAGTTATTAATCATACAGCAGCCCTGCCACATGACAGTTGGAGGTTTATAGATCTCAGCGAATGACTGGAAAGGAGACTGGTCCATTATGTCTGTCTTCTGGTTAGCCCTAGTTAAGAAAATTAATGGCAGAATGCAACAAATGTCAAATTGCTACACTGTTCTCTTGAGTGCTCTTTCCAGGCAGCAGAAATGCAAGCTAGCCAAGAACATGGCATGCATGTAGCCTGAATTCACAATGAAGGCCGGTTCTGCCATGAAAGCAAAGAACTCTGATACTCAAAAAAGGGTGGTAGCCATTAGGTTAATCAGGAGATAAAATTGTCCTCAGTTTGGGAAGCTGGCAGGAAAAGAAGAAAAGAGAAAAACCGCTGAAAACATACTTCCATCTGGGGAGGAAATATAATCAAACTACCATGTTTTTGGGTCTCATTGTTTTTGAGATTTTCCTTCTTTCTTTTCTTGTGATGCAATTGTGGACAGTTCTTGGAAACCAGATTTAATGAAATTAGACCCTCTGTGCTGCAGCGCCTCTGCTATGTCCACTAGTCTCTTGCTCTTCAGAGGAACATCTGATCAATACAGACAAAAGTGCAAAGAAGAGCACGGTCTTGGGAGCACATGACATGTATGTACTACCCTGCTGCTGGCCTCACCTGCATGGCTGGCTCTGAGGAACACAGCTCTGAAATACATACAACTGTCTGGAGAAGGGAGGAGCTGGAGAGACAGCAGAGGAAGGAAAAACAGAAGGCAGAAAGAAGAGCTAGAAGCTAGAAATACTTAAAAATGAATATAAAGAGTCTGAAAGACAGCGAGGAAACGAGAACCTAGGGAGGAAGAACTCCTGCTTCCTGCCTTCTCCTCCTCAAAAAAGCATGCCATGAGAGATTAAAAAAAGTTTAAATCTTAATCTCATTCTGTGATTTAGAAATTGTATTGGAGTGCTCCACGCCTACTCATCTATTAGCATCAGGCTTTTCTTTTCTTGGGGAATTTAATAATGATTTTTTCTGTTGAGTTTAAGAAGCCTTCTTTTCTTGGGGAATTTAATGATTTTTTCTGTTGAGTTTAAGAAGCACATTTCCTCCCTTTGTGAGAAAACCAGACATTCATTAATAAACTAACAGCAAATTAACCTAAACTGATTTTAAAAATATTTTTTCTTTAGCATTTCAGGAGACACTCATTCATTTTAGATTTCAAAGTACCTGAAATCTGCTATAAATACTTTCAATTACACTTTGACACTTAGTCAACTGTTACAAGAACCATATGTATAGAGAATTTTGTTCAGTAGGTCTCTGAGTAGCTGTCCATCTACATTTGAATCTGTTCAGTTACACCACTCATGTCTGGATAAGACACTTAGTTGTGTGAGAATCTTGATATAGATACATGATGTAACTGTAAAATAAGCAATGTGAAAGTGTAAAAGAAAACCACAGAAAAAGAATCCCCCTCAGACAAAAATCTGTGCCAGCTACCATGGTGTGCAACACCTAGGAGAGCAAAGATGTGATTTTACATGGGTGAAGACTGAAATACACATTTCAGTGACAGCAACAGAAAATGTGTACCAACTTCAATGGAAATGGAAGCTGACCTAGAAAGAGATTAAGTCCATGAGGTGAGGGGGAGCAGGGGGATGACATGACACACACAGGACAAATCCTCAAGTGTTTAGAAGTGTGGGAGAAGTTATTACTTCTTCTACACGGCTCTAACTCACACCCCTCTTCTGTGGTCTGTTGGTAATTTCTCTGCAGGGTTATTAATGAGAGGGAGTCTTCCAAATGACGGGAAGAAGGTGAAGGAGGGATCCTAGGTGCCATGAACACTTAAAAGACAGACCCCCTCTTGTGCAGGAGAAAACTAAAACTTCCTTCTACAGGCATTTTTCCTGTCAATCTTCTGCCAAGTGTAGCTGCAGTTTGCTCTTCGTAACATACCCGGTTTGCTCAGTTTTGCAAAGCAACTGTCAGGCAGGTGTCCCTTGGGATGTACAGCCCATGGCCAGTTTGGCCAGCCTCTGTCCAAGATGGACCAACTATGTGTAGCAAACCCCACCTCACCACCTGTGGGGACCTAACCACAATATCCTGCCGAGCAGTGGCCACTCACTTTGCTGGATCAAAATCTACTTCTGAAAGCCAATTTGCACAAGGTGCTAAATGCACGCGCCTTTGCCTTGCAAAGATACTTTCTGTTTGCTTTCAAAAGCAATTAAAGGAAAAGAGCATTCTAGTGCAATTCTAAACACCATTTCAACAGTTGCACTTGATTTTAAATAATAAAGTGCGGCAGGCTGTGCCTTTTTGCTGTGGGATTGTATACAGCTTAAGACAAGTGAATCTACAGTTCATGCTTTTGTGTAACACTGTAATATAAATCCCAGCAGTAATGGTAGTTACAATTGTCCAACTTCCTTTGCCACTAGAATGCATAACAGATCTCGCGTTATTATCTCCAGGTAGAAATTCTGCTCTTACGGAATCCATAATGGGGAAGATCCAGGAATATTAATAGATGTAGGTGTGCAAAATGATGGCAGCTCCATCACTTCCACTGGGCTGATCAGACATGGCTCCTCCATCAGCCATCCAGCACAGTGTGTAAAGTACTACTTGCCTTTAAGCATGTGAACAGTCATACTGAAGTCAAGTTTGTAAGTTTATGGATAAAGCATGCACTTCACCACTCTGCTGGAGAACTGAGGCCTATGGATCTATGCTTTGCTAACCATGATTCCAATCTTAAAAGCAGAGAAAATCTCAATATGCTGGTAAGGGAAAGATCAACCTTATACGGCTGCACCTGAGGGGAAATTCCCTTTCCAGAAAACTGAAGACCTCATTTTGCAGTGCAGCTCCTGCAGGCAATATAGCCACTGAGAAAATTCAAAACTTTATATACTGTTAAAATTCTTTTTAGTGTGACATTTTCTGATTAGCATTAGCATAAATCAGCCATGTTTAGAAAAAACATTTCACTAAAATTTAAATGCAAAAGAATAACCCTGTGTTCTAAAAATCCTAAAAATACACAAGAATCTGCAATAGGCTCATTGCTAATACCGGAATTATCTTCATCTTTGCGGATCTTTAACTTTACAAGGTCCTCACAGTGCTGAAGGATCTGAACAGCATCTTCCATTGAGCAATTGTCAAGTCGAATGTTATCTATTGCAAGCAACTTATCACCCAGTTCGAGCGTCCCAGTTCTGTGAACAAGCAAACAAGCTTACATGAAATTCTAGCAACATTAAAGCAAGGTATCTTAGAAGGTATCAACATTATTATAGAAACTAGATGGATTTTTTAAAACAATTATTTCTTAATACGCTGGACATTTCATTTGTAACTGCTGTTTACAAAATAAAAGCACAAGTCTCTTACAAGCTCCCTCTGTTTAACTTGAGTCTGGCTGGCTACACAATGGAAACAGATTTCTGCTGGGAGCTTGAATGTCTTACCTGTGAGCAACACTTCCTTTCTTGATATCAGAAATAACCAGAGGGTCCCCTGGTTTTCTGCTGGATGGAGCTGTAATAAAGAATACATACAAGCATCTGTTTTTTATTTCCAGAGATGCAGATGGGCTAATTCTGTCCACAAATCAGTATTTCATACACATTATTTACCTGTATTATATTTCTCTCTTTTCCCTAAATTATATGTACATGAATACAAACAAACAGCAGCAGCACATTAGTAAGACTGCATACTCCTCAAAAATTAGTAAATGCCAGAATTAAGGTGACTGGTGCAAAGTGAATTTAACTTGGTATGTCTGAATTCTGGGTTAGGCCAGGACTGAACCATATGAAGATATCACAGTACAGCTCCAGTGATCTATCATAAAATGCTGTGTAGCTACAACACGTAAGGAAGCCTTTCTGTTAGTAGAACCTTTCAGCACAACTACTGACGCCAATCTTTTGCCAGAATATTTCTGTCAGTCATAATCATGTTTCGTTATATCCCTGACCAACAGAGCTGCTCTGGCAAAATATCTAGAGTGGTCTAGCCCACGTTCTGTACATCCATTCCCGTCTCATTCAGCACTTAAGGCAGAGGTATGAAGATAATGCTTCCTGGGTGAGAAGGAGGAATCTACTTCACAATAAATGAGATGCTGTGGACAGTGGCTACGCATATCATTGGGCTGATCCACAGTTATCACATCTGCACAGACATAGCTTACATCACACGGATGCTTGCTTCACTGTGACTCGCTGCTTCCTCTGAAGTAAACATGTGCCTCTTCTAATGAGTAACCTTGCTCCTCTATACTGCTGCTGGGCCTTAAGCATTGTGGACTTTTCCCCACTCTGTACTGGGGTTACCTACCAGAAGCCCTGCAATTCCAGCAACGGTCAGATTAGTAAAACCCCCACCAGTCCTCTCCTTGCACACCTAACTCATCTCTTCTTGGAGGTATTTGACATAACTTTCAATTTTCTATCTGTCCATCATGGTTAAAAGGATGTTCTGCTCTACAGTGCCAGTCATTGCAATTCTTTACTGACTTGTGCAAAAGTACTTGACAAGTTTCCCTTGGCCAGGAAATTTGCTTAGCAATTTTGCTTGACTTTTGGTTGCACAGGAAGCAGTGAACTACCCCAGCGGGAGAAGACAGTGATTACTGTCTGCTTCCAGAGGACTGTTTCTTGGAGCAGCTTCACTAAATGCATTGTTTTGGAGGGTTCATCCCTTTGCTGACAGAAGACTGCACTGAAGATCTGATATGGTAAGCAGTGGGCTCAGAACTTGAGGGTGACGAAAGATACATTTTTAGACAATGGTGTGGCACCTGCTCTCTGCCATTGGGAAGTACACCACCTACAGCTGCTCTGGCCAGGAGGCAGTCCACGTGGTGAACGCAGACTGACTTTTGGGACTGCTGTTAACAAAGAGTGTGCTAATATCAAAACATTGCCATGTGGTATAAGGCGCCCAGTTCTTCTGAAAGTGCTATGTTTTTTGCACACGCAGGGCTCTTCAGTTGCCCCAAGCCATTTCTGCTCTGTGTACTGAAGCCTCTGCATTTATTCACAGAAGGTTCTTTTCCATTAGGCTCCAATGTCTAACTGACAATCACCCAAAAAGCTACCCATATTGGAGGATCACCTACAAAATCCTGATGTAAGTTACTTTAGCAGCTCATGATTCTTCTCTTTGATGGAAAATGACAGATCTTCACCTACAGCAACCACAAGTTCCAACACAGTATTCTAACAGATCTCGTTAACCCTGGCTGCCCTGGCTGAGAAAGCCTTTGAATGTCCAAAGGAACTGTTTAAGAACTGCTAAATAGCCATATTTCAGATGCAGTGTCCCGAAAGTCCAGAAGACAGACGTACAAGGACTTTCAAGAATTTTTAGAAACTTGTCTAAAACAGCACGCTTTCAGGAAATGCCTATGTTGCAATTTAGAGAACAGCAATTAACTTTTTGCAAGATGTGTAATTTTCACAGCTTGTTTCTCATACTTTCACGCCATGGGTCAACTATATCTTATATGGCAGTTCCATGATTTACTTGAATTCTTTGGTTTGTTTCACCGATTAGTAGCTTGTTAAAATTTTAAAGTATCACTTTGGTGAACTTTTTTTTTTTAGTTCTACGTTTTTACTCTCTGGGTTGCCGTATAAATCTCTGAGGTTATATGCCACCCACTGTACAATGTCTGCAGCTTGAGATTTGAGTATTGAAACTGCTTTATAGAAATTACCAGTACTAAAGTCCATTTTTCTTCCAAAAAGAAGAGAGAAGGAACCAAAAGGGGGGAAAGAGCACAGCTCGAAGTGTGAAGCCACAGAGTACATGTGTTACTCTCTGGGTTGCCGTATAAATCTCTGAGGTTATATGCCACCCACTGTACAATGTCTGCAGCTTGAGATTTGAGTATTGAAACTGCTTTATAGAAATTACCAGTACTAAAGTCCATTTTTCTTCCAAAAAGAAGAGAGAAGGAACCAAAAGGGGGGAAAGAGCACAGCTCGAAGTGTGAAGCCACAGAGTACATGTGGATGCAAAGGGTATGATATTGCACACACAGTTATTACAGTTTCAAACTGAGTAGGTGTGAACAGCATTATTTTGTCAGTTATCCTGGACTATCAATTGTGTCTGGTAGATGAAAGCCTTTTTGTAGGCAGCAAACACAGCTCAGTGTGAAATGAATCCCCCCATGCTGACAAGCCCTTAATAAGCAGCTACACCGCACTTTGTTTTATTCTCGTTCAATGCTATTCAAGTTGTGTTGCAGAGATAAAATCATTAATTTCCTCCTGAACTTTTGTACTGCACATCACCACAGCCTAAGATTGCCTCCCAAACACTAGCAGACAGGTGCTGTCCCCAGCAAGAAAATTGAGTACTATTATCCTGATTTTACAGATGAGGAAAGGAAACATAGGAACATTTAGGTCAAAGTATGACAATTTTCAGTGAGCAATTTAGAATATCCATGCCTTTATTTCTCACAATAGTTTGTAGTATATAACAGCTTCTACGTCCAAAGCACAACTACTGGTATTTTCAGCAACAGCTGCAGATGCTCAGCATTTCTGCAAGTGTGATCCCAGGATCTCAATGGTTTCTGCAGAAAATCAAGCATCCACCTGTGGAAAATCTCTCTCTCTCTCTCCTTGCCCCCCACCCCACGAAATGACTCGTCTCAGCACAACTCTATTGCGGAGAAAAGGAAAAAAAACCTAATTTCCCAAGGGTAACATTAAACCATCTTGACCATGAGATCACCCCCTTTTTCTTTCTGTAACCCTCTAACTCATTAATTATGCAGCCTCCATCCCCTTTGATACACACCGCTGTTTCATCTCTCCCCAGAGAGCAGAGAAGCAAGAGTCCCAGTGAGAAAGTAGTATTTGACCACTTAATGAAAAAAAGATATCCTCATGAATTAACACAAGTTTGAAGTGACACTGTACAGCTTTAAGTCACCATTTTTATCTTTCATTTCAGAATTACTTTTGTTTTTAAGAAGCAATTAAAAACAAAGCACCTTACCGCTCACCCATGTCCAGCCTTCTTGTTCAAGCTTCCCCTACCTCTGATCACACCTCAGCCACTCCCCTCACCTGCTGTCTCCCTGTTATGGCTCTCCACTCATTTTCTCTCCTTGTCCCATTCTGCTTGTCCACTGAAGATCTCATATTTTCTCCTCCCTGGTCCAGCTGTTAGTCTACCTACTGTTGAGCTTTTGTAGAGACCTTACACAGGTCTCTTAGAACTCTTACACAGTTCATCTACAGATGAACTACAAGTGGACTGAGAGTGTATAAAGTTGTACAGATACTGAATTTAGTGTTGCAGCTGGAAGGCTGATCTTTAGCAGGTTGGTTGTTCTCTCTCTTTAAATTACTCTATGATCCTAGGTCTCCATCCCAGGCCTCTACTCTACTTCTACTAGTAGACGCACTTCCCCTGCCTATCCCCCACCACTTGAAAGCAAGTTCAGTGAAGTGTTGTCAGTTTTGTAGATCAGCTGTTCCATTAGGTTAAAAAAAACCTGAAACAACCCTCCTTTCTTATTTCACTGCTAACCCAAAGAAAAAAAACAGTATGACTTAAACAGATTCTGGGGTGGACATCTAACCTAACACCCAGCCAAAACTCACTTACTAGTCTCAGCCTGGCTTCAAGTTTTGGAGTTCGATCAAACTCTGAAGAAACTGAACAAGCAGAGGAAAATGCTCATGGGATGGAAAAATATTTTTTATACAAAGTCAGACCACTTATCCACAATGCTGGTTAACAGCTACTAGACTTTTTAAAAATAGTGTGATTATTAAATGAAAGAGCTTTTTAAAATTAGACTGATGTAGCTCTTTTGTTCCTTAAGTATTGGTTCATGTGGAACAGCTGAGAAACCTGCTGATTCTTCAGGTCCTGTCTTGAAAATAATTACTTGTAACATTGCAAAACGAAGTTGAGTTTGCTAGGTGAAATCCCAAGATATACAAAAGCATGCTATAGAAAGTAAATTCTCATAGTCAATGCTAAATATCTGTAGATATTTACAAAGCTTATTTCTGATGAAATATGAAAGCAATAGAGCAGACTATAGTATAGCTACTAGTCAAAATGACTTAGAAAAACTGATGATAGTTTGGGTGAGATTCTGATATTCTTACCAGCTTTGCAGCTTCTTATTCATTGAGTAATCCCATTAGCTTCAGAGAGATTATTTATGAAGCAAGGTGCTGCAGTTCATTACCAGTAAGGATATCAGAATCTTACTTAAGAAAGAGAGAAAAGGAAAAAAAAAAGAGCTGTTAATGACAATTACCAGACTGTACTAGTAAGTCATTTTCTTGGACATAATTCAATGTATTTAAAAAATATTAGTCTATGATAAAGTAGCCAGTGGCACAAAAGTTTATCTTAAAAAAAAAATAAAATCTATATTCCATTACATAGTCTAAAATCAACATCACTGGCAAATAAATTGAAACAGATTTGAACACTACTAGATCTACTTGAAAGCCATCCTACTTCTAGGGAATGGTTCTGTTATAAAAGCATAATCACACACATGGACACTGCTGTGTCATGCTTTATTTGGATGACGTAATTTTAAGAACTGAGACATTCTAATTGCTCCAACCAGGTAACTGGGTGTGAAAATGATGGTACATGAAGTATGAAATATAGAGTCACTTATATTTGCAAACTATGCAATAGGGTCTTTATTGAGTGTAAGTAGATATTAATGGGAAGATTAGACAGATACTGCAGAGATAAGGGAAGGATGATAGGACGACAGAAGTCCAGTACGTGTGTGAAGGCAGCAATGGGCAAGGCCAGTATACTGAGAGGTAACCAACATGCGCTATCCGAAACTCAGTGCCCTGGATTAACATTAACAAAGATGCTCATGAAACTTTCTTCTGTCTTACTTTCTCGGGGTTTCTGCTATCTAAGGGGATTTTGATTTTTTTTTTGTTTTGCTTTTTTTCTTGCATTAATAAATCTGAAACTAAGAGAAGCTTAGTCTCTTCCCCTATTACATGTCATGTTTTTCAGAGACCATAAATCAGCTTAACTGTCTTTAGTGTTGTGTGTCACCTCAGATATGCCTTGAAGTACCTGGCTGTAACTCCATGCAGGCACACTTGGTGTTTATTACCAAGGAAAACAACACAAAGAAGAGAAATAAATTCCTCTTCCAGGATGTCTGCCTCCTAACAGCTGACTTAGAAGAACTCTTGGACTTAAACACTAGGCATATGTCCAGGTGCCAACCCGAGGTGAGGCTTACGTTTTCCTCATGACAAAAAATGTCTGTCTTGTCTGTCAGGTCAGGGCATTTCCTGACTCTCTCATCCAAATCCCGAACTAAACTGGGGATATGGAAAGCAAGACAGGCGTTTCTCTGTAATGTTTTTAGAGAGACAGCACTTTCTCACTCACCATTAACTCCACTACCTTGAGAAGAGAGAGGATGAAACAGGTCTCTAGCACTTAAACAGATCAAGCCCAAAAGTGACTAAACCTGAACTCCTCTATCACCCCTGTTTAAGCCTGGTCATTTCAACTCCACCGAGTTTCCCTTAGTATTTGTTTTTTAAAAGAAATCATATAGCTTTCTGACAATATCAGTAATAAATGGCATGCTAATGTGCTAAAGTTCCCTGACAAAAATTTGTCAAAATGAATATAAAACACTTATATTCTTCAGAACACACTGCCTCATTTACTCTGTAATGTTTTTAGAGAGACAGCACTTTCTCACTCACCATTAACTCCACTACCTTGAGAAGAGAGAGGATGAAACAGGTCTCTAGCACTTAAACAGATCAAGCCCAAAAGTGACTAAACCTGAACTCCTCTATCACCCCTGTTTAAGCCTGGTCATTTCAACTCCGCCGAGTTTCCCTTAGTATTTGTTTTTTAAAAGAAATCATATAGCTTTCTGACAATATCAGTAATAAATGGCATGCTAATGTGCTAAAGTTCCCTGACAAAAATTTGTCAAAATGAATATAAAACACTTATTATTCTTCAATCACACTGCCTCATTTAGGAGTTAATTAGGTAGAACAGAGCAAAGCACTGGCATGAAATGCAGCAATTCAAGAATTCTACCAAGCAAATTAGCAAATTTTCAGTTATTAGTATAAATCCTTTAAAATCAAATAAATAATTAATCTTAGACACATTTCATATGCGTTAAATACTACTAATAAGTGGGATCATTCTATATAACAGATCATTTAATTTAAATATTAAAGATACTGCAGTAAACTCAGAAGAGCAGAGCTAAGACCAACCAGGTGTCGCTCTGATTACATAAAGCACTAATTTTATAAAGCACTAACTTTTGGAATTAAGTTCCAAGTCAGGAAGGTATGCATAGTTTGGAAGAGGAATGCTAAATACTAAATCCCAAGAACATTAGCCTTCGTTATATTCTTCAAATCACACTGCCTCATTTAGGAGTTAATTAGGTAGAACAGAGCAAAGCACTGAAAAGCAAGCATGAAATGCAGCAATTCAAGAATTCTACCAAGCAAATTTACAAACTTTCAGTTATTAGTATAAATCCTTTAAAATCAAATAAATAATTAATCTTAGACACATTTCATATGCGTTAAATACTACTAATAAGTGGGATCATTCTATATAACAGATCATTTAATTTAAATATTAAAGATACTGCAGTAAACTCAGAAGAGCAGAGCTAAGACCAACCAGGTGTCGCTCTGATTACATAAAGTAATAATTTTATAAAAGGCACTAACTTTGGAATTAAGTTCCAAGTCAGGAAGGTATGCATAGTTTGGAAGAGGAATGCTAAATACTAAATCACAAGAACATTAGCCTTCCATTCAGAGTTTACTCCTACAGCCAGAAAAAAAGTACAAGATTTCTGAATTCCAAAAAGCAGCACAAATCAAATTACTAGGAAGACCATATTTTTACAATAATCCTACAAACCATTACTGATCCTAAAAATAACATCTAAATAGAACAGCCTCTCTCCAGGTTTTCTCATTTCTCAATATTTTCATTTGCACAAATACATGTAGACCTATGATTTTGCTTCAAGCATCACATCACATCTTGCAGAGTCTAACAATTACTCATTCAAGTGTGCAATGCAAGCAAACAGGCCTGCAGTGTCTCTCATTCGTTCCTCAGATGTAATTCTTAGCACTGAGTTCCCTGCTGTACTTTTGATTAACCTTATTCCATTGTGCTGGTAAAAGCTTTGAGAATATAAGTCAAAGCACAATCTTCCCTCAGGACACGTGAATAATTCCAAAGAAGGACTAATAGTCTAAGAAAGGCCACAACCATAAAGGAACGTTAATTCCAGCGAGATCAGATTCTGCACTGTCATGAAGTACATTAAACACAAGCCCATTACTTTGATATGGATTGTTCTTCCTTTCGTCAAGGGCTGAACTCGGTATGCTGGAGTTTACCTGGTCAAAATCCAGTCCTAACACAGCATTTACTGTCTGCTCCCAAAATAAGTAAGTGTAGAAACACCTTGATTTCAAACAACAGTAACAAATACTTTTTGAGAAATAGACTAATGCACACCCTTGTTATCTTTAGCAATCTCTGAAATCCCTAGTGAAAGGGGATTTTGCTATGTGACCTGCACATTTAGGACTGTCCACTCGTTTTACAGACTGAGGATGTATCTTCAGACTCTGGGTTCTGGGAAGCAGAAAATAACCCCATGTATGTGGATCCTTATACCTCTGAGAACCCTTGAGTTCAGTGGGGTTCTGTTCAAGAGCCTGTGAGAGACCTTGACAGACTTTGCTTTAAACTTCCCAGCTATGGAAATACTTTTGCATGGGCCTAATTCTATTGACTTCTTTTTTTCTTTTTTTTTTTTAAATAATTTTAATGGGAGTTAAATATGTGCTACGCATGAAGGAATAGGTCAAGCTTTAGGCCTGGCAAACTTCTGGCTTCTTTAACTACTAGAAGGGGAGTATAAATCTGTTACAGAATGGTATTTCATCAGAGACAAAGCATTGTTAACCATCCCTTTCTAGAAAAAGGAAAAAGAAGTTTATACCAAAACAAACACGAGTCTGTAGCTACGGGACCTACTATCTGCAGATTGTCCCGTAAACGTGGTCTTAAAAATAAGCACTTTCACTTACAACTTATGGTGATGCCAAGTTCCACATTATGCTTCTTTGGTAGTTTTACATGAAATGTTCCACTGCTTGGTATAACTGATTCTATAAAAAAATATTTTAAATGTTAGATAATTTATAAGGCAGAGCAATTCCAAGTGCATGGAACTATATGTGTAAGTTGATGAAAGCACATCAGCATCACAAGCCACGGATGAAACATGGGTGCTGAAGTGAAGGAAGTAGGACATACGAAGTTTGATTTATACCTCTATTGGTAATTTCCTGGTAACTCAATTTTTTTTAAGGCTTAACTCAATTTATGGAGATTGCATGGGCCAGCAGCCAGCTGAGACTGCAGGTTTTTAGCTCGTATGCAAGTTCTGTGAGCACATGTGAAAATTATAGTGCTGGCAGATAGCTTTTAACTAAAAGGACAGGAGATCAAGTCTTAAGGATTTCAGGCCTTTGTTGCTGTAGGTCTAACACATTTTTAACTGTCTGCTGAGGTAACTGCCACGGATTTTACATCTATTGGGAAGAAAAGGAATCAAAACATCACTAATGGAGAAGCATCTGGAGCTGACTGAGGCAAAACCCACTTGAACACACAGCACTGTATTTGAATCCTGACTTTTGGCATCACTGCTAGCAAAAGTTTGGGCCTTGGCCTGAAAAGGAGTGATTGAAATTACAGCTATGGAAACATAAAAAAATACATGTGGCAGAGGAGTCTAACCACGAGTATGAGTCTGCTGTCATGGAGCAAATGGGAGGAGCACAAACAAGTCCAGGGACTGAAATACATGTGACTTCAGGTGTATTTAAATGACTTTCTCATTATTCTGTTTTCTTAATTTTTAATATTTCATTTCCTATGTATATGAATGTACATATTGTATTTGGCTTTTTTTTTTTAACATTATACTAGATGCGTGCATACTAAAAGATTATACAGAATTACTCTAGGAACCTTTAGCCTGCTTTTGACATCATGATTTATAATACCATTAACAATAATCACACTATGCAAAATACAGCACATCCGACATTGTCATGACTTCAAAGGAGCTACTGTCAGACGAACACAGAAGTCTTAGAAGTTTTTACTATTTACACAGTGGGGTAGTGCACATACATAATGTGTACTTGTTTGATTTACATAATTTGTGATTTTATAGGTGCATTCTGTATGCTTAAACACATTACAGAAGAAAGGAAAGCCATTAGTAATAATAAAGACTCACCAGCAACATTAACAATGATTTTTCTGGCTTTTATTAATTCAATTTCTATTATTTTATTTAGATTGTTGGTTTGAGATACTGTAAGTGAAACTCTTCAGAGTTTTCTGCTTATCTGCCCTTCTATAATACTTTTCTGTCTAGCAAAACATTTAATTAGCTGGCCTGTAGAGGATTTGTCTCTGCTCAGCAGACTATTTCTATCTCAGGGCAGAAAAATGTCTGGAAATAACTCAGAGGAGGGACTGTCACCAGATCTTCCTACAGGACTTGTCATTTCTATTTGTGTTCTGAAGCACGCTGCAGGGCTACGTGAAATGAGAAAGCTGTACAAAAAGACACACGTTTCAAATAGGTCATTGAAAACTGAATGGTGTATATGTGAGCAGAGTCTCCATCTTGGATGCCTAACACTCGCAGTGTACTTGGGATTTATTCCTTCACTTTTCTTGCAAGACAGAGTAACAGTACATTCATACCTGCAACATCAAATTCTATTTCCAAAGTGACCTTGTTGGTGATAGAGGAGTCTCTGAGCAGTTGATTGGCCTCATCAAATGTGCTGTCTTCCGTCGGGATACCGTTTATTGCCACTATTCTGTCTCCTATTTGCAGCACCCCACACCTTGGTACACAATGATACAAAACAATCATCAGATGTGCACGTTACCAGAACCAGCACTATCAAACACACTCAACCTAACCTTGAAGGAGAAGTGTGGCACAGCAGCTCAACAGTCTACCCGGGCACAGAGGAGGACAGAAGCTGCTCCTGCTCCTTTGCACCAAGACACTATCAAGCACTCCCAGCATGGGTTGTGCTCTCTAGGTGCTGGGACCCAGGAAGAGGGGCACAGCCTTCACGCCTCCACCCCACCCATGGACATCACCTCTGCCTCTGACCCTGGGCTACAGGTGTTGTAGCTCTGCAATGGCAGCTAGTACTTGCCTGTGCCACTACTATTGTTCTCATGCCATGATTAAAGACATACAGAAGCATAGAAGTGCAATTGAAATGCTGCAATGAAATCATTAGTAAGCCAAAACTCTGGTATTCCCTAAGATTTGGTTCTGTACCAGAACTGAACAGAGCTGGATATGGCCTCCCCCCATGGCACACTGAATTATTACTATTTTGACTTCAGCAATGTTTCTGATTTTTTTTTCCCTTTTGCATGAATATAGCTTCCAGTCTCCTGCCGGAGAACTCTGGATGATAAAAACACTGGTGCTTGTCATTCTTCTCACAGCTGATCAAGCATATGAAATATCATTGTCAGAACAGACAGTTTATTACTTGCCACACTGCTGTTGAGCAAGACCCTGCAATTTATCACAAATCGAAAGCAACAAGCCTGAAGTACCCCGAGGAATGCTCACCAAAACATACTTAGCAGTCAACTGAAAGAACCTCACCTTTCCGCCGGACTGTCAGACTCAATATAGGAAATGAGAGGTGGAGAAGACAAGGTCTCAGTAGCAAACACGCTACCCTGGAGCTGTATCCCAAACCCTACTATGGGGTCAGCTGTCAGCACCACTTCTGTGGTTTCTGTGTGGACGACCTGCCCAGCCAAACCAACAGTGCTAGAGGCTAAAGACACTAAAACAGAGCAGACCAGGAAGAAAGACATTCTTACACAGCAGAAATTTCATTGCTCTTTGAGAAAATTGATTTGTACAATAAACCTAGTCAACGAAACATCTCTTTTAAAGTCAATTTAGGCTAAAGTTTATAAATTATGTATAAACAGTTATGACATATAAGAGAATAGAAAATGTCTGGTTGTATGTTAGAATGCAAAAAGATAGTTCTTGTACTGAGTAAAATAAATGTGTTTGACAGCCCCACCCCAAAAATCTCAGAACATCCTTGAATTCTGTTTGCATTAGGTTTGAGGCGTGGATGAGCAGGATTTTCACAGGAGCTAAGGGAATTGGAGGCACAAGCCCAGCTGTTATTCAGGCCGATTCCCGCGGGCTCTTTTGAACATCTCACAGCAATGCACTGCTGTTAGCAACAAAGCACGTGGCCCAGGCTTGCTTGCAAGAAATAAGGATGCCTTCCTCTTATATGTTTACTACATGTCAGCAATTTGTCAGGCTAATTGGGTAGTGTAAGTTGAACGAACCCCTCTGTTTTAGCAACCAGTATATCTCAAGAGATTGCGAGAAAAAAAAGGTTTTTGGGGTCTCTCAAAGGAGCTGGGGAACCCTTCTGTGAGAAACACAGGCAGCTATTTCTGTAATCCTGATTTACTCGCTCTCCCTATTCTCACTCTTGTTCTGAATAGGCTGCATTACAGAACAAATTAAGATAAAAACAACATTGAGATTCAATGCAATTACCTATGAAAGGAGGAGACTGCACCTTTGGTTCTCTGATCTCTGCCTACAGGTCTATTGTATCATTGTTCGAATTCCCCCCCGTGACAGACTACTGTCTTTCATTGTGTCATACACAGAAAGCTAGAGTTTTTCAATTCCTGTTCAGACCAGTAAAGTAATGGTACAGTATTGTAATGATGATCCTCCAATGCCGAGGATTCTGAATGTTTTCATGTTACAAATCTACGCTATTACCTCTCCACCTATAATTTCCTTCAAGACCCATTTCTGCCTGCAGTAGCTACTAAGAATTAGATAAAAGTTCAAGGTTTATCTGAGGGATTGTTTAAGTGTGGGGGTTTTTTCTTAGATGTGGAAAAAAATTAGTTCTTGTTTTTACATTAAAGGTAATGTTAGCACAGCTGTACAAAGTTGTCAGAGGTTGTGTATTTCCCGTACCTTGGGGCTACAAGCATTAGACTTTTGCTCTGAAATAGTATAAAATCTGATTAATGTGGCACAGTCAGCAATGACAATTCTGTGGCAAAAGTTTCACTTGCCAAAAAACTCATGAGTTTCTGTTTTCTCTCAGCAAAGCTCCTTTCAACTCTGAAACCGTCTTTTCTAAATTACTGTGAATTCTCACTCGTATCTTGTTTTCATTTTCCTTTGTAAGAATTGCATATTATTTCACTTATTCAATAGCTTCCTTCTTCCTGTTTCTTTTATCTGCACTGAGTAAGACATGCTCATACCCAAATGCAAATACTAATAATCTGTTCTTAGAAATGGCCACCAGCTTTAGCATTTACTGCACGTGAGAAATAGGTTTCTCTAGCCTTCAGTGCTGCAAAGGCTAAAATATGACTAAACCAGATAAATTCAGAGTTAATATAATACCGGATCCCCTAAAGCACCTTCTGGAAATGTCTAAATTTAGGGCATCCAAGTTCAGAAAAGTTCCATTCTCCCTTTCTTTAAGGTCATACAACAATTACTTGTTAGCTGTGTCTTCATTTCCCATCACTTATGTGTCCATTCCTCCTCTGCAGCAGGCTTCTAGCTGACTCTGTAACTTTCTTACTCTTTCTCTAATACCCTGCAAGGAACCTAAAGGTCTTACAACATTTATTTCAACTTTTAGGACAGCTAAGGTTTTAATTCACATTGGGAAATTAAGTTACTTTTTGTGGGATTTAAAACTCACCCATCATAAATTTTGATGATGTGGACACTTAAAAGTGAAAATTAGGAACTCCTCCCACTCCCAAAGAAAAGGAAACAGAAACAGGAACAAAAAAAGCAGAGATGAAAATACCCTTTCCAAATCATGTAACAATGCTATCTGCTAAGTCTCTATAAAATGCCACAGGTACCCAAAACCATGACTTAGAGCATGTTGGGGTTTGTAACTCAACAATAATTGCAGCAAGAAACACTGCCATTTTTTTGGCTGCTTGACGGATTTGAAGTTTTACAGGCCAGGAAGCAGCCTTAGTGCTTTAAAAAGGGGGCATGGATGTATATGTGGTTCCAGTGAACCCTGGTTGTTACTACTAGGGGTGCATTTTAGCATACTTGTATAGTTTTCGTCCAACTCTTAGCAACAGTCCTGGGGGCTGGTTTACTAGAGCATATTTACATATGCTCTGCAATTATGTAAGTAATAATCTTGAATTTGAAGATTATGTACTTGTTGCTTTTATTCCTGCAGCAGTACGAGAAGCAGAGCAAGATGTATTTAAAGATACGTATGTGGATTATTATGCCTGCAGTCTCCCACTCTGACCCTTGAGAAATTGCAAAATGTTCACTATTCCTCCTGATAGCAGCTAACTTGGATGTGCTGAGAAAACAGCACCCATGCATGTCTAAGACCCTCTCTAATTTCTACCAGATATGCAGTCCTAGTAACTATCATGTAAGCTGGTATAAAATTGTGTCTCACTTTCAAGTACTAATATGGACCTATTACAAAATACTTCAGGATTTAAACATTAACCAAATATTAATCTAAGTGTTTCCACAATGAATACCATACTTTAAAACCAAAAAAAGCAGAGGAAGAATAAAAATTGAAAACAAGTGGCATAAATAAAGCACGTGACAGCAGGGCACGCCTTCAATTTTTACAGCCACATGTTTGGAAAGATCTGTGTAACTAGTCATTTTGCAATGACTGCAAAATCATGGCCATGAGAGTCTTGTAACCCCCTGTACCATCACACTTCATCATCATGAATTTTGGCATGATCACATTAAGTTATGCAGGTTTTCCTAAATAACTGGCAATGTAAACTTTACAGCACCCTTCACCAATACATCCTTTTCTTCCTAAATGGTATCCTAAAAGATTTATTAGAAGTCACATTAATAAAGCCCTCAAATGATCCAATTGGCTTAAAGAAAAAAAAATCACTAAAATTAAGAGAGCATGCTATTCCTTTTCTCTGAAAAGGACAGCAGTCGATGCTACCTGGTTCTCATGGGTCTCCCACAAAGGGAGAGGGGCAAGGTTTTCCAAGTCCTGTCGATGGATGGTGGAAGGGTACAGAACCAGTCATTCTCTATCATGGTCACTTGTAGCACATTCAGTCCAGCGTGGGTCTCTTAAGTTGGCTGTTACTGCAGTCACAAGTATGGGTGTAAGTCTAGCAACAGCAGTAAGAAACTCTGCCTGGGCTGAAAAGCAAGCTCACAGAAAGGGCAAGCAAGCCTGGCTGGCCAGCCGATTCCTCCAAAGCCAGCTCTGATTCAGGGCTGCTGATATAGTCACTGCTTGTAGTGAGGTACAGACTCACTCAGTGATGGGGCCAGTTCCACATATTTTGTAACACTTTAATATCCAGACCTCACAATGCAAATGCATAATAAACTACCCCACAACAAAGCCTCATCCTAACTCCTCCTAGCTAGAGATTTGTTTAATCATAGCAGCCTGTCATCCCCAGGGCCTTCTGACTTGAGGAATCTTTCAGGTGGGATGCAGTGCTTATGTGACTGTCCCACTTAAATCTAACGTCACTGGCCTTGTTTTGAGCCTTTGCAGGATAGCAAATTACAGGGCAAGGCTTCCTTGAAGGAAAAATATCTGAAAAATATAACAACGCAAGTAACAGCTGTCTCCAAGATCCATAATAGGATTAACTTTCAGGATTAACAGTCCTTTGTTGGATGGAACGGCTATAATATAGCACAATCGAAGAACTATTTTTTGCATCCAGCATTATTTTACTATTCAAATCAATTAGTATTACTAATCAATTAGCGTTACTAATTGTAACATTACTACTGTTTCTTATGTGCACGTGAGGACACATAAGAGCTGGACCCCCACTGATACCATAACATAGATAGACACAGTATCTCCCCATGACCCAAAAGAATGCATTAGAAGCTAACATGTCAACAGATGAGTTGTGAAAAATGGCTGATCAGATTAAAAATAAAAAATGCACTTACAGGCAAACATTATGCAAAAATATTTGCTTTACAAAATAAATAAGAACAAGCAAGCAACAAAAAAGTCTGCAAGAAAGCCAAACCTCAGTTCCTCTCTCAGACGTTTCCTCTCAACTCCATAGTGACTGGCCTTGGTTGGAGGCTGCTGGTTTGCTCTGATTTTGCTATGACCATGGGAAATCTTTAATACGGGGCAGCAGCACTGTAACGCGCAGCAGCTCAGTTTTTCCAGAGTGGACCTGTGAGCATTATTAGCCAGAGCAGATGATTTACAGAGCAGTTCTCACTTCTCTGCTCTGGAGGAACTGAGCTGCTGAGGATCACAGGAAGACGGACAAGCCAAAAGGAGAGATGGCACTTACATGGAGCCTGGGAAACAACACGCTGATACAGCCATACTCTCTCCGGCCCAGTGAATACTTTGCAATATGCAAAGTGGTACAGCCTGAAATATATCCAGCCAGGCTTGGGAAATTACTGAACCTTGGGAAATTCATGCTTTGAATCCCAGAGAGTGGTCAGAAACAAGGCTATTTAGTCTTCACCGTTATTTGTCGCTCTTCCTCACAAAAATGACTGTACAGGTTATGGTGTAGATGTAAACATTAAAACTACCTAGGAGGTACTGTGGCAAGCTCTTCTCCTTCCACAGTGTGATAGTTGGTTGAGCTTACCAGCAATCTGTTTTTGGCTATTCAGCTATGGATTCTATTCCCTGATGGAAATGGGAAGAGTTGAAAAAGGAATTTGAAAATCACTTCAGTAACGGTCTAACAAACTCTTCCAGGATTGACTGAAGAAAACATTGCTTTATATATTTCAGATGAGATAGTTAAGCTGCATGGCCTCTACTCATCTCATTTTAGCACTGGACAAATATTTTTATGCTGATGTTTCCCTACATCTAACAGAAACTCCAATTGTTCTCTCTTCTGCCTAGTATATTATATTAATTAAGGTACTTTGTACCTTTTTTCTGTATCTTCCCCCTCCTCCACCCATTCACTGCACATTTTGAGCAAATGCTGTTACCACCTACAGGAGCTTTTGAAGTCCTTCTTTTTCATCCTCCGCCTCATCATTGTCCCACGCGGGCTGGTGGAGTAGAGGCTGCGAGGTAAGGTCCCCATGTTCAGGGAACTCAGGCTGTATGCACTCATGGAGGTAGGAGAGAAGGATGAAGACACCAAAGCTGCTGTAAGAAATCAAACACTTGGCATACAGCACTCAGTCTTCATGGAAGAGTGCGACACATGCCTGTAACTCGTCCGTGAATAAAACAATGTGTATGATGCACAGGAATGGTTTGTGCATTTCCAATAACAAAGACATTAAACCACATAGGTGACCCTAGGTAAAAGTAAAGTCAGCATTTCATGAAAATACCTGCTGGAAGCTAACAAAGATACTGTAGATACAAAAAGTACATTCATAGTATACAACTTATTTTAGGCAAAGCATGTTAAACTAAATTTTTCAACACATATCCATGAACCAATGCAGATCAGTATGTCTAGATACACCAATTTTAGAAATGCCTTTTTGTAGTAGGTAATTTCTGACAAAAGATTTGTAAGCAATGCTTTGCATTCAAAGATTGTGCTTTATATACATTACTCAAATCTAACGGTCTACTCATATGGCTAAAGAGCTGGTTCACTGAGAATTTTCAAGCCTTTTCCTGTCTACAAAGGTTGCCTTGTTACAGAAAGGAAAAGGCGTAAAATGTCAGAAATAACCTTGGCATGGCTATGAAAAAGTGTAGCATCCATAAAACTGAAAAGGTTTTAGTGCCTGAAATGGGAAAAGTATGAGTGAAAGAAGAGGGGAAGGAGGAAAAGGAAGAAGAAGAGGAGGAGAGAATATGTCAGCAGGAAAAAGTGTGGAACATTACGAAGGCTTTTTTGAGGAGGCGTTTTCTGGAATTTCAATGCTGGCATCCTGCAATGGTCAGGGTGGTAGGTGTTATAATGGTGGCAGGTGAGGAGGCTGCTGTGGCTCTTGGCACACGAATCCCAGGTAAGTTGCCTGTTGCTTCTTTGAACCTTCACTGCCCGCATGAAGGGATGATGGAAAATCAGAAAACAAAAGGACCAGAGAAGAGGAGAAAGTAACTGAATTGCACAAACAAACAAACAAACAAAAAAGTTAAAAAAAGAAAATAAATTTAAAATAAAATAAAATAAAATAATAAATAACCTGATCTTGTCTTCTTACCAGGGGTGCTACCTTGAGGAACAGAAATAATATTTTTTCTCAGAATAAATGCTTCTGATTTTTTTTTTTTGTTGTTTCCTTGTATTTATTTTTAAAAAGATTAATAATGAATTAATTTCTAATCTCCCTCTGCCTTTAGGAGCTAAGATTGCAAACTTCCTTAGAAAATAGTAAGTTATCACATACGATCACTAACTGAAGGTTAAGTCTCTCCTTGCATTGTAGATGCATTAAAAAATAAAACCAGATACTATACATAGCACTGCCTAGAATGAAGACGTTTACTTGCCAGTCATTTCAATTTACTTCATTTACATTTTAATTTTGCCACCATCTATTGTTGGCATTATGCTATTCTGTGCAATAAATTTCTTCCCTAGGCCAGCAGCACAGAAACTCTATCCTGAAGCCTCGTTAATAAAGAAAAAACAAAACCTAGAGTTCTTATTGATTAGTTGGATGTGCTAAAATTTAATGTTTTTTAAACTTAATCTTCAAAACTTTAAAATTATCATTTTCTGTATGAAATTAGAGACCATATTTAATTGCCGATTCTAAGTATGGGGAGTCCAGGATGTGCCAAAAGTGAAGGCCAGTATTTACCAAGGGAACAGGAAGCATTTCAGCTGATGTGTCAAATACTGAAGGAAAATGATTGAAGTCACCTTTCATTAAATATAGTCTAGTCATCATTAAATTCAGTGTCCTTGCTGAACCGTAGAGGAACACTTCAAACTGGGAAGTATTCACAGAATTTTTCTCTTAAAAACACCAAGGGATTCACCTGTACTATGAAACTTGTTACCGCCTTTGGCCCATGAGCTGCATTACCTGTGTCCCTCTGCTACCTGCTATATCTATAATGGCTGCAGACACATATGACCCCATGCTGGACTTTAACAGCAGCCAAAAATCTTGACTGTTTAGGTTGGACCCACACCTTGCGTTCACATCTTACTCCGTGAGACAAAATAAGGGAGAAAAGGGTAGCCACCGCAGCAAGCACTGTGCAGTGCCAGAAGAAAAGCTATCCTTTTGTTTCACTTTATATTACATGAGTAATGATCTGCTAATTGTCTGAATATATTAACCCTCCTCTGACTCAAAAGCAATGCCAGTCACTACAGCGAGGAGTACACACCAAGGAAAAGGAGAGTACAGAGGCCCACCATGTCCCCGCGGCCTTGTGGGGAAGTTGGGGCTCTGGGGGCCCCGGCACTGCCAAGCCTGGCCCCGCACCCCAGGTTGTGGTGCCCCAGGCCTGCATCCCTCCCTGAGAGCACCTCTGCTGTGCCCTGACACGTGTTTGAATCAAAAGAATTAATTTTTAAATTTCCCCCCCCTCAACAGATAACAAAGGTGAGGGTGGGGTGCAACACCAGCACCAGGAGGAGCGCTTGGTGCCACCAGCCAGCCTGCACCTCAGGGTACCTTACCCATTGGCACCAGCGCCAGCAACCTCAGACACTTTGGAAAATCTCACGTCAGCCAGAAAAGTCCCAGGAACAGCAGCAGTAGCCTGATATGGCCATATGTATCTTACAGACTTATCATACCTTCTCAGATGAAACTGTCTCTTTGATTACGTGCACAGACAGCAAGATTTCCGAACTGTAACTATGATATAAAAATTAAAAACTGATAAGAACAATGTGGCCAGGTGGATTTTCATTATTTTCAAGTTGCTGTGAGCCTTGTTTAATTAAAAACACTGCTTCCAGCAGGAAATTATCTAGTAGTCTTTGATTTTTTTTTTAATGTTTTATTTTCATGCTGAGAGTAGAGATAAAAACATCCTATGAAGTGGGAAGGTACACACATTCAGTTTGCTCTGTTTGTAGAAAGATAATCCCAATTCAACAAAAGTTCTGTAAAAAAAAATCCTATCGTGTTTAACTGTGGTAATTTTGCAGTAATTTGAGCTATTCCAATCCAGGGTTGTGTACAGCAAACATAAAACTAATGGGGCAGCAAGAGAAATGAATGTTAGCAGCACAGTATAAAGGAAAAAAACATGAAAAAAAAATCTGATCTATTATAGTGCTCTCCATTTTATTTTAGGGCTAAAATTTCAATTTATTTTATATACTGACTTTTCTGCCCATTTTAAATTCCTAACATGTTCCCATAAGACCAATAACTGAGCTCAACAGATACAGCCCTAATGACTCAGCTTATCCCAGACACATAAAGGGGGCTTTTCAAACTCTGCAGCATCTAGGCCATACCACACCTGAGGAAAGGCTGTTTTCAAGAGGATACTTGCTTCCATAAAGCATGCTACATGTCGAATTGCTTGTGATATTGGAGTAGCACCACCTGGTGAGGGGCTGGGAAGGACTGTAAACATCCTAGTTATTCTGCCTTACTTAAGAAAGCAACTTTATTACCTTAGGGACACTTCTCCCCAAAAGATGTGCTTATGCAGCTTTTGCAGATCCCCTTGATATGATTTCGTAACGGCCAGTTCTTAACTCTGGCATGGCAAGAGCATTGCTTTTTCTAAGCATCTACACTGGGTCAAGGTGACCAGCACATTAACAGCATCAATTTGTTTAAAATGTTGGTTAAGAAACCAACTGCTTCAAGTAATACAATTGTCTACACAAATCTTTGGCCCTGGTACTCATCTTCCCAAAAGAAACACTCTTCAAAGGTTCTTTAACCAGCCAGAAATTGATTGTGTGACATCTTTGCTTCAAAAAAAATGAAAGATCTGTTTGCAACGTACTGTCATAAATTAAAAGAATGGAAATATATTGCAAAATTTGGTCTCCATCTCATTCTGCTTCTGCAGTATCATTCCCTGCTCCCTCGCCCCTTTAACCGGCTTAAGTAGAAAGGGGAAAGAGGTGCAGCTGATGGAAGAACATGGTATTGTAAGGGTTACTTTTTTTCACCCTGGTCTAGGAGAAACTAGGGTCTCCTCAGCCACTAGTTCAATATTCACCACTCTGACAAACTGACTAGAGCATCCCTTATCCAGGGACAGCCTGGACCTTAGATAGACGTCCAAGAACATTTACCATCACTGACATTTCTAGGCCTCAGAAATCTTGCCTTGGTCTAAAGGAGGCAGAAGCACAGTACCACAGGTTCAGAAAATGGTACCGCTGGTTCACGCCGCAACACAGGTACCTGTTCTCTGTGTATTTGATAACCCTTGTTACTTCTTTGATGTCCATCAACATGCAGTATTTTAGACTGAATTTATGAATACTGTGAATTAGCCACTTTCTCAGGATTAGTTAGAAGACAAGGCAGGCAGTCCCCATCTTCAAATACTAAGACATTTTATATATATTCGATTTGAAAATGGAAAGCCATTCTCCTAAAGCATGTTGGTATGAAATAAGTATCACGGTGAAAAAGGGCTAGGATCTAGGGAACTGTTTCCAAACAAACCTTTTTCATAAGCACTGACAAGGAACCCATGAAGCAATCTCAGAAGTACTTTAAAAGATGATGGCAATAAAGAATAATGCCATTAACAAGAGAAAATACGGGGCGGGGGGGAGGGTTGAGGTATTTTAGGGGAGAACAGGTGTTGTCAATGAAGTGGTCGTAACAGAACAGACTATAAGTCAATATGCTGAAAAGAAGTTGGCTGTGGTCCTTCCTCCCCCCTCTAAGCAATTGAGAGATTCATTTACTGAAGTACCTAGTTGCCCCCCCAATGATTGATACAGTAGAGTCAACAGGTGTCTTCATGTACATCTACAAGTGAGCAGAGCCATTTCTAACAGGTGTTGTCAATGAAGTGGTCATAACAGACTATCAAGTCAATATGCTGAAAAGAAGTTGGCTGTGGTCCTTCCTCCCCCCTCTAAAGAAGCAATTGAGAGATTCATTTACTGAAGTACCTAGTTGCCCCCCCAATGATTGCAACAGTAGAGTCAACAGGTGTCTTCATGTACATCTACAAGTGAGCAGAGCCATTTCTCAGTAAAACATTTCCCTCTCTATCCATAGGAATCTCAGAGGGTACATTAAGGCCAAGAAAACACAGAGCTTCTCAGAAACTGCAGAAGCATAACCTGGGGAGCTGAAACAACATTTACAGACATTAACTGCTGCGATAGCTTTCTTGACCATTCAGCAAGGGCAGGCAAAGTAGAAGACAGAAAAAGAAAGAGGTATTGGGTGCTACAGATCTTCTTACCATGCTCCGGGCCTTTCAGTGCTAGCCGTGTCTGGTGGTGAGGAAGGATCTCAAGTTTGACATTATCCGCTGCATTAGCCAAAAACTGCGTTGCTTCTGCCAGTGTACAGTACTCCATGCTGGTGCCGTCAATGGACAGAATATGGTCTCCTACATGTAATGCACCACATCTACATAAAAGGGGAAAAACTCGGTATGATCAGGTATGCTCTTTGCTTGGAAAATGAGTTTTACTGCCTTCAAACTGGTCATGACAACTATAAGCGTGTTCTTTTTTTCGAGAGAGATTTGTGTTTTGTAGGCATTGTCACTGGTCAGACTTTATATCTATTAGTATAAACCTTAAAAACAATTCAGTTAATACAGCATATGCCAAGACATCACTCACAGAACTGGAATGGGGTAGCTGACTATAAAAATATGTGTGAATGGCAGCAGAATAGTATGAGAACAGCTTAAGGAGACTCAAATAACTTGGTCACATATCCCTCACACAAGCACCCAGTTCATCATTTTTTGAGTTATAGTTCAAACATTTATTAGTACAAAAGCTGTAAATGACGATGAAATTATGCAGTAGTCAAACAAATAATGAAACCAGGGCTAGCATGGTGAATTGAGGAGTGGGGTGGGGAGGGGGCTATCTGCTAAATCTCGCTGCACTCAAGAGACTGGCTACTGGATGAGTTGAGAAATGCAAACACAGCAGTCAGCATCCCGACGTACCAGTCAAGTGGACAGCTCCTTTAATTGGTTACCCCCTGCGAAATGGGAAAAAACAGAGGGAGAAAATTAAAGCATCCTGCACCATTGAACTGGAGAACACCCCTGGATCAATGGCCGTCACTCTCAAAAGTTTCTACTGTAGGGAAAAGCCCACAAAGGAGCTGTAGACTCACTGCTACAAGTGGGTGCTACCAAAAGCACCGTTGTCAAAGAGGAGTTACAAGGTAGGGTGACCGGGGACATGCAGGAGGAATTTGCTGCTGAAACATAATATTTAAGGATTTTTTAGATAGAGATATGTATATAGAAATATACTGTATATGTATAAACACATACACACAAACACGCACACACCCCAGAAAAGGTCCCACCGCTCTGTTAACAGAGGCTTAGACCACCGGGGGAAAATATCTATGCTTTTTTTTAATTGTTTAAATGGTTTTATTTAAAGGTTTAAATGAAGTGGAAAAATTTCTGCAAAATAACTCCAAAATACAGAAGCCAGTCTTCCTAATACCTCAGTCGTATTCTAAAATATCAATAAAAAAATCCAGACATAAGGAGTTCCATTTCACTGTGCCACAAGAATGAGTGATATATCCTAAAAGAACATTTCAAGGTTGCAAAGCCTCGAAATTTACTTCCCTTGACAGCTGTTCCATATTGTATGCTTACTTTAAGAATTCCAGTGGGTTATTTATTTTTTTTTAAATACTAATCTCTGCTGCAGCTTTACATTAAATAGTTAGAGCAGACCTCTAAACTTCTGCGTTGCATAGTGCAAGCAGACAGTCACGTATTACATGGGGGCTGGCTTATGTCATTGAATACTATGTGAATGAGCTAAAGTAAATGGTGCTCTGGAAGTCTTAAACTCAGCAGTATGGAGCAACGATCTGACAAAGTGCTAATTTTAAGACCTAGCAACCTTGAGAGCATCCAGTTCAAAGTCATCAAAAATGGAAGGGTTCCTTTAAAACCAAACCAAATGAAAGTAGAAATAAAATGGATGTATGGACCTGCTGTGTCAGCCCTCTGTCACACTCACCTGTCTGCAATACTCGCAGATTTGATTTTGTCTATGACAATGACCTGTTTGTTGCAGCACATCGAGGTAGTTAGTGCAACCCCAAGAGCAGCGCCAGGAGTTTTGGCAACTTCAACTAGCAGTGGCCCAGACGCTGTTGCTACTGAATCTGTCAAAATTAGACAACAAAAGATCAGTATTATACCAATGTGGTACTTATGCCATTTTCATATTTTCCCACATAAAATCTCCATGGCTATTCTATTTCTCTAACCAGACACATGCCACATAAAGAAATTCTGGAACAGCATCGGTTTAGGTGTCAAGAATCAGCTTTTAATGTTGAAACCAATAAAAGCAAGAGGAGGTTTGTGAATCTGGGATGTCGGGAAGCTTCTGAGCGTGTAAGAATCAGAGATGGACCAGGTTAGGGAACCAGGATGTATTAGCGAATCACTCTCTTGCACAGCTAAGCTAAAAATCACCTGGAATTTAAAACAGGCATGCTGACAAAACAGAATTAATAAAAAAAGTAGAAAATTATCTGAAAAAAATATGAAGTGAATGGGTTAGAGAAGGATGCTAAATTAATTTTCAGAGAAGAAGGGGAAGGTCTGTGGACAACAGCTATAATAATTAAGTGAAGACAGTGAAGCAAGGGTCTACCAGAAATCCCTCACAAAAAGAAAGGACAATTTAGGAGAAAATGGAGAAAGCGCAGGAGGCATGACAGCTAGAAATAGTAGGAGTTAAAGCAAAATGCATGTGAGGAAGTTCAGAAGGTTCTTGTATTGTCCTGTCACTGGATAAAGTACTGACTTGCAACAGGGCACAGATAGCAAATGACCGAACTGAAACAAGAAAGCACAAAAATAGGAGGCAGCAACAGTCATGATTGACGACTGTGGTGAGGAACTATGCCCAAGAGAGACAAGTGCTAGACAGAACAAAGAAAAAAGACAGCAGGCTGCTCCCTAAATGCCAAAACAAAGCAGGCAGTGATAAGGATGAAGTACATTCTGGAGACTGCCTGAGAATTCCTGCTAACCAATACCCATCGATCAACAACTGATCTCAGTGGAGTAAGATATGGTAAGCGAAGGTGTCCTTTAAGGACATAAAAAGACCAAGACAAAGAAAGTTACATCAGAAGCCTTTGGAGATGCTTACCATCAGAATAAGGAAAAATGAATAAGCAAAGACATGCTGGAGTAAAGTTACCAAATGTCCTGTTAGCAAACAGGAGAGATTCGTGTTCACAGAGTACTGGAGCCTGCTGTAAGAATACTAAGAAAATGTTCAACTGCGATGTCTCTCAGAAGTCCCTAAGATTGAAGCTGTAAAAGAAGTGCAGCTGGTCTTCAAAGTATGGAGGAAAAGACAGATGTCAACATATTCCATTCAGCCTTCAATCTAGAAAATTAGTCCAAAAATGTAATTCTGACACAGAAGAGAAAGACTGTGAAAGAGAGTATTATCGTAGAAATCTAACAAGCTATATACCATGATACAAGAAATGGAATGAGAGCTTGATTAACTAACACTCAGCTGAGGTGCTCTTCCTAGCTAGAGCGCAACATAGGTAAACTGAATACAGAAGTGTACAATATATGAAGTGAAAAAAGGCGCTTGGATGGAATAACATACAATACCAGTAAAGTATCAGTTAATTATTATAGTACTCCTTTTTGCCCCACAACTTGAAATAATTTTTATATTCCTGTTGTCTTCTTTCCAGTTAGAAACCTGAGGATTTGAAGGGGAGATTTAATATTTCTGAAAGTGCCCGTGAATTCTGAGTGATTAATTTTTGTGCCCAACTGGGACTGACTTTTTAAAGGCTGAACTTCCACAGGCACCACCAAATAAGCTGCTCCATAAACCTGAACCAAGCTTTAAATTGTGATCCAAAAGAAGAGAGTTCACCCAGAAGCATTCCTGCCTGGAGCTTCAGGCACTTCAGGCTTTAAAGTTGGATGAACAGCAACCTGTCTTTCTCTAGTAATTGAAGAAGGAGGTTATGGCAATCAAATTCTTGTCTTAGATGCCTTGGTTAAGGGTCTAAGTAAGGCAGGATGCGTGCAGTGACTTGCATACAGCCAAATAAGCACGTGCAGCAGAACAGAATTTAAGAATTCCTGATTCCCATTCCTGCGCTGAGAAACAATCTTGAATATTCCAGTAGTTTCTGGAGCTACAAACAAGCTCGCATTTACAAACATATGGGAAGAAGACTCAAACAATGTTTGTCAGCAGTGCTGTGACAAAGGTTTGAACTCACATCGATCCAGAAAATGGCAAAGCTCAACTTGTTACTGGACTATCGCAAGTTCTTTCTGTAATGATTGCCTTGAGGAGAGGAGAGGAAACTAAACACAAATATCTGTTGAGGATGAGTAAATCTTTCAAGATGCTGCTCCGGAGTTACTTGAAAAACGCACGCTCAGCTTATGCCCTAGCGTTATTTCCCAGGTGCCTGTTGAAATGCATGGGGAAAGCAAACCAAGGCAGACAAGATGAATAAATAAGATAACTACATTAGAGGAACCAGAAGAGAAGAAATGGAGTGTGTCTAACTGTGGAAAATAAACACAAGGAAGGGAAATCAGAAGGCAATAATCAAGCACACATTCTCTGACAGAGAAGGATTAGTTTATCATGTTGAAGTAAAGCATGGATATGAAAAATGAATCATACAGGTATAAATTATTCATGTGTGAAGATGTTTCAGTCATTAAGATATTTACACCGTGACTGAAGTACTTACACACCATGTTGATTTATTGGCTATGTAATTACGTAAGATATACTGATGAATGTTCACGTGAAAAACACTCTAGATTTTTGATTTTGTTAATCATTTTTCTCACTTTTGAGCACTGCATCTCAATCAGTACAAGAGGCTTGATTAAAACCTCCCTGAGGAAGCAGCATTGCTTTCTGCATGCTAATACATTTCTTCAGCTAGATAGCAGCATACCTTTTTTATTTGACAGCTTAAATCACTGGCAACAAGGGGTTTTATTCTGAATATACTTTTATGATGTGTAAATATACTATATGATATATAAAAAGTTTTGGATAAAATAAGCAGTGTCACCACCCTCCCTGACCTCAAAAGATAATCACAAACGATTCTGAAAGTTGAAAAAAAATATTTTTTAGCCTGATAAAGTGATCACATTACATGTGTTTCTTTATGTCCTTGTAAATGTATGTATCTGCTAATCCTTACCTATCCTCATGGCTTGTCAAATCCAGTTCAACAACTGGTGAGTGGTGGAGGGCAGAAAACCTTGTTAGGATTCCCACAGTGAGGAAGCCAAAAAGAGAGCTGCTTTTATTAGGCAGCAGAGGATCTACAAGTGAAACAGTACCTGTGAGTGCCCTAAAAAGGGAAAAGCTTCAGTCATAGCTTGCAATCAATAATGACACTAACTTCACAGGAAACCAAACTTTATTAGTTTATGATTCTTTTTTTTTTTCCTTCCCAAAGCTTCTTGTACTTAAAGTTGGGAAGTGCTGCTATACTGTGAGCTTGTTCCTGTAGGAACACTGAGCTCTGTTGCTACTATCTGTGCTCTGCCGCTTCTCACTTCTCTAACTGGAAGGTTTTGGGTGCTTTCTTATTTTTTTCAGAAGTCATGGCAACACAAGGTACAAATAATTTTTTTGAGCAACTTAAAAGAGCCAGACAAGGAGGAAGGATGTCAAAACAGATTTTGACCTTAAAGAGCCAGCTGAACCAACTGAAACACACAGCTCCACAAGACTGCTATTGATCTTGCCTGGATGCTGCTGTATCTTCTAGCAATGATGTGAGTGACAAACAAGTGGCTATCTTACTACGTCACACTAATATTCCTCTCCCCAAGCTTCTTCCCTATTATAGAATCATAGAATCATTAAGGTTGGAAAAGACCTCCAAGATCATCGAGTCCAACCGTCGACCCAACACCACTGTGCCCACTAAACCATGTCCCTAGAGCGCCTCATCTACACATCTTTTAAATACTTCCAGGGATGGGGACTCAACCACTTCCCTGGGCAGCCTGGTCCAATGTTTAACCACTCTTTCAGTAAAGAAATTTTTCCTCACGTCCAATCCAAACCTCCCCTGGCGCAACTTGAGGCCATTTCCTCTCCTCCTATCGCTAGTTACTTGGGAGAAGAGACCGACCCCCACCTCGCTACAACCTCCTTTCAGGGAGTTGTAGAGAGCGATGAGGTCTCCCCTCAGCCTCCTTTTCTCCAGGCTAAACAACCCCAGTTCCCTCAGCCGCTCCTCATAAGACTTGTTCTCCAGACCCTTCACCAGCCTCATTGCCCTTCTCTGGACACGCTCCAGCACCTCAATGTCCTTCTTGTAGTGAGGGGCCCAAAACTGAACACAGTACTCAAGATGCGGCCTCACCAGTGCACCTTGAGGTATTAGGTGTCCACAGGCTAACAATTTTTTCACCTTAAAATTGTATATAGCAGGTCCATGTAGCCTTCTCTGATTGAAAGCAGTAAAGTATAGCAAGTCTGTGCTAGTTCAGATCAGTAAATAAATGCGTAGCTCCTCAAACCTTGCAGTTCTTCCAATGCAAAGTTTTAATGCTTTTGTAGCAATGCATTCACAGATCTAAATGTGTTAAACTAAAAGCCAGTATTTCACAGAAATTTTTTTTCTTGGTCAATAAAATGTGCTCTTTGCTCCTCACATCTTTCTTCGTTCCCTTCGTACAAAATGTTTGCAGCCCACAGATAGCGAGTAGAGCAATCTCTTTCTCAGGTAAGAGCTTTCTTTTGTCCATTCAGTTCTTGTCAGTACACCCGATTCTTTATCTTCTCTCTCTTTTTCTGTATCCCTAATTTTTACCAGTACCTGTGTGCCTCATGCTCAGACTAGTCAAGAAAGCATAAAATTAAGTAGAACAATGGGACACCCAGTTTACATTTTCAGAGCAGTAAGCCTCATTAAGCTCAGGTCATGTGACACCTGGATATCTTTTTGTAACGCTCCTAAAAGAAAAAACACCTTCTACCCCTAAACCACAATTTCCAGTACCAACATCCAAAGATTGGACCAGTAGCTGGGTGGATCACAGAGGTGTATTTTAGTGAAGTTAAGGAAGATTGTTGAGAACCGGAAAAAATTTGAAATCTCTGACACTCCCTCCTTTA